TCCTTCTGCCTCAGCATCCTGAGTAGGTGGAGCTACAGATGTGTGCCGCCGCACGTGACCTGCTGCACGATTATTGTAAAAATGAATTAAACCCTACTGAGTGGGAGAAAACTGACTGTGATCTTTTAATTTTTTGTTCCAGAGACTTTTATACTGTAGAACATATTGTCAGTCATCAAGATTTTCTATTTCTTAATTGGGTTAAAATAGGATTGTTGCTTTTTAAAATTATTTTCTGACATCATTGTTTCATACATTTTTAATGCTTTTAGTCCAGTGGATATAGAAGTACGGGAATCTCCAAGGCAAATGTCAAAAAATAAACAATAAGCAGATTAGGGAAAGATATTCTGTGAAATAACCTTCTGATTGTAGTCACATGTAACACATCAACTTAAACAATAAAAAAAGTTGTATAATGCAGTTGTATCAGGGGTTCCCAAGACCGCCTTAGGTTTGGTCATTCACTGAGAAGTACTCACAGGACTCAGAGGAGTCAGCAGACAGTCATATTCGGGGCTTTGATTTATTGTATTTAATACAGTGAAAAGACACAAGGCAAAATTCGAAAAGGGAAAAGGTGCATGTGTCAAAGTCTGGAGGAAGCCAGGCACAAGCTACAGGAGTCGTCACCTGTGTAGTTAGCAGGATGCGCTTAGTTCCCGCAGCCTCAAATTTTGATGACACATGTGCAAAGTTGTCTACCTTACCAGAGTTTCATTAGAGGCTCAGCACCCATGTTTTCCAGGGAGGCTAGTCACATAGACAACCTCTCCTCTCCCTCACATGTGACAAAATTCTAGACTCCCAGGAGGAAATTAACTGTTCATAGTAAACCACATTTGTACGAACAGTTTAGGCACAGTGAGCCATTTCCTTCTTCTAAGTTAGGGAATGGCGGGAACCCTATCAAATTCAAGGTCCCAAACACCAGCAAAGGACTAGCCTTGCAAGCAAGCCTTTCTAAGGATGGATGTCTTTTGCCTCCTATATGAAATCTTTGCTGCCCAGAAGCTATGTCCCTGACTAAATTTTTGATGTTATCTTAAAATTTTATGTAATATAATAGCAAATAATATGATAGACCATAACATGGTATTGCTTTCGGTTACATCATTCATATTAAGTAGCAAGGCTGCTTACAGTTTTGACATTTGGTGAAAACTTAACAGGTATTTGTACATAAGTTACTATGGCAATATTAAATAATTATAATCTTTCCTTCTTACCTGATTAATCTTTCAGTAAAATTGTGGGATAAAATAGGCATAATAAGCTCTGATTTAAAATTAGAATAAAAATTATCTTTCATTTTATTTACATGGATGGACCAGTTTTGATTCATATTGCATTAAATCCCTGTTTATAATTATGAAATAAGATTAGATATTCAATCATTTTTATCAATTTTTTTTTGCCTAAGTATGCAATTAAAATTAATTGCTTTATGTGTTTTTATATGCTTCAATTTGGGAGATAGTACTCATATTCTGTTACCTTGATCTTTAGTGATCTGCAATTTTCAAGGTGACTCTGTCTTTTTATAATTTAGGGTAATAGCAAGTTCAGTGAGTATGTTTTTTAAAATTAATAACATTATTTTCCGAGCAGTTTTAGATTCACAGCAAAATTGAGAAGGTACAGAGATTTTTCCATACTCCCCATGACCCCTGACATATGAACAGCCTCCCTCATTATCAGTACCCCCCATCAGAGTTCATCAGAGTTACAGTTGAGGAATCTATCTGGACAGACACATCACACCCAAGGTTCACAGTTTATGTTAGGGTTCACTCTCGGTGTTGTACATTCTGTGGTGTTGGACAGATGTGTAATGGCATGTATACACCCTTGTAGTATCATAGACGAAATAGCTTCACTACCCCAAATATCCTCTGTCCTCCACCGTTTCATCTCTTCCTCTCCACTGGCTTCTGGCAACCATTGGTGTTTTTGGTGTCTCCGTAGTTTTGCTTTTTCCAGACTAGTCATATAGTTGGAATAAAACAGTGGATATCTTTTTGAATACTTAAACAATAAAGTTCCATAGTAATTGGATTCTGTCATTGTAAATGTTGTTTGTCCTTGCCTTTGTTTTCCTCATGTTTTTTTTTCATCAGAATAGGATCTGATGGCGTATGACTTGACATGCTGAGAAAGCGTGATTTCTGTAGACATTTGCCACGTAATGGGGAGAGTGGGGAAAAATGGCATCATGCAGTACTGCAGAGCACTAACTGGACCATCGTGCTCTAGGGGATGGGTCCAGATAGACTCTAATGATGGGACGGGGTAATCTCAAGAGCTGGACTTTATAAAACTGGAATCACAAAGTCTTGCATACTTACCTAGCACTTAAAAAGAAGATCAGGCAGTGAATACTACAGGTGGATACATATGTTCCTGATTGGTTCTTTTCTTTTTAGGGATGAGCTTGAAAAGTCTATATTATTATAACATGGCTCATCTACAACTAGATGTTCTGTCATAAGAAATACCAGTGTTTGGCTTTACAAGAAGTGAAAAATAATTTTGTTTTCACCAGAGAGAGTTGACAACTGTTGGCACATTCTGGCAGCTTGAGTGAGCTGATAGTTCTGTTCATATATATTTTTCATATCAGGTAGTTCTCCCTGGAAACCTGCCACCACCATGGCAGTGTTTCTTCTTAAGCTTCTCTCTGAATGAATGGTACGGCTCAGAGTGAATAAGCTCTTTAAGGGAGTGATCTTTCCAGTGGTTCTTTCCATGGGAGGTAAAATGGGAGGTGAATTTGAGCCTTGTTTGTGCTAGAGAAAACAGCTAGAACTAAGTAAACTTAACCAGCATCTGCCCCAGAAGAGGATTAGTGGGAGTGAGTACATTGATCTCCCTTGAGCTCTTCTCTCCGCTGGCAGCTGAAAAGTCTTTGCAAAGATCCTTGTCCCTGGTCTCTTCCCTGTGTTTTACCATATAACATAGCACAGCACCCAGAGACCTACACAACCAAATGTACAGTTTCCACCCCCTTATCCATGGGGATATGTTCCAAGACCCCCAGTGAATGCCTAGATCTGTGGATAGTACTGAACCCTAGATATGCAGTGTCAGGATAGAAGGAAGAGGACAAGAGTAAAAAGGGGGTATAAAGAATGTGGAAGGCAGAGAGTATAGGGAGTAAATGAAGGGAAAAGAAGCAGGTGGATATGATGGAGGGTGGTAAAATGAGATAATACTTCAGAAAAAGGAGGAGTGGGATATTAGTAAGGTGGAAAGAATATAAGGTGAATGTGGAGCACCAAAACTTATCAGATAAGACAAACTTTACTTGCCAACATGTGACTTGTGCTTTTAAGTTTGATTAGTTCATCATAGTGTGGCTATACTGATGATTTTAAGCCAGTCAGATACTCTGGTTAGCAGATCGTGTGTGTGTGTGTTGGGGGGGGGGTGGTGGTATCTTTGATTATCAAAAATGAGGAAAACAATCACTCCTTAATAACTATATGGTGGACACAGTCATTTAAAACACTGATTCTGAAACTTTTTGGCCTGGAGTTCCTTTTATATGATTAAATATTATTGCCTAGAGGTAACTGACACCCTGAATTGAGCATTTATCATGACCATTCCCTTTTAAAACATTTTATTACATATCTATATGGTCATAAATAACATGTATAATTTGTTTTCATGTCTTAAAAGTATATATAAATTGTTGTACACTCTACAAAGTTTGCAACTTTCTTTTCTCTGGACACATTACATTTTTGAGGTCAGTCCTTATTGACACAGGAAGCTCTGGTTTTCTATTAAATGACTGGATCTCAGTTAAAGTCTCTTCATAATGATAAATAAATAAATAAAATAAATAAAAATGATTGCAGATTCCAAAGAGCTTTTGTTTAAGTCGGTTGTGTCTTTTGATATTTACTGTGTTAGAAATAAAAACTAAAATATTTGAAAAATGAGCATGCACAGCCATACATTCCAAGGGCCTTTAGAACTCTGACCCAGTCACCATTAGCGCTATGATGTTATGACACACCATGTCATGAAAAGCTCCACTGTACACTTGAAAGTGAACGAGAGTGAAAATGGCAAATAACATTTTGTATTATTTGACATCTTGGACCCCCTGCCTGGATCTTGAACTCCAGGGATTCTCAGATCACAATTTAGACCCAACATTTTAAACCACATATGTGGTTGTGGATAAATGCGCCCTTCATGATGAAATGGACTTTAAAGTTTCACTTCTGTATTTTTGGCTTTTTTTCTTTCACTTGTCTTAAAAAAAATTTAAATCCCCACAATTTTGTTTATATAGAAAAAAGGAATGCATGTATATTATACATAACATATGTATAATATATATATATATATTCCTTTCTTGTGTCATGGTACTGTGTGCATGGTACTGTGTGCTCTTTGGATCTAGTGTGGTCCTACACTAGTCCTGTTTTTACATGGGAACAGTTAGGGCCCTTACGGCTCTCATTTTGCAAATAAATGTATGAAGTTTATCCAAGTATTTGAAAGTAAATTCTGAAGATAGTGGTGCATTGAGGAAAGACCATCTCATTATAATTAAAATAGTTTTAAAATTATATTTATTATGAGTTTTTATAAATCCTCTGTCTCTACAACACATACACATAGTGCTGTCATGTATATTTAAGCTTAAAATGGTTAGACATAAATTCTGTATATAAAAAATTTATATCCATGAAATATCTTAATGGAAAGCAAAATATGTAATAGAGACTGCTGAGTGAATAAAAGTAAGTAATAGTAAACAGTAAAAATGTAGAAAAGTGAGAGATGATAGTCAATTAAACTTTTCTGAATGAATTGCAGCATAGGACATATAAAATATAATAAGCCCAAATGCGTAATGTGATTGTGGGAGAGAGCAGGACGTGGGACTGTTTCTGTGAAGAAAGCATGTATACAAGTTGGTCAAATTATTGTGTTATTTACATCCTAATAAATGAAAACTTCATTTTCGGATTTTTCAGATTGGCATCCTACTAATTTGACCGTTAGTGATAAGACTTGTCAGAAATCCAAGATTCTGAGCGTTGATGATCAGTGTCCATCTGTATCACCATCAATGCCTGAAAATCAGTCAGCAGCCAAAGAATTGGGACAGATGAACTTAACAGAACAAGAAAAGATGAACGTCTTGGGGAATGGTAGTCTCCATGACCTGTGCCAATCACAGCTACCAGAAAACAAAGAGAGCAAAGAAGGTAACAAAGAAGTATAGAGAATTCAGTCCTAGAGTGCCTCTGCTTGGCTGCATAGTGCTATAGTTCTGAGTTAAAAAAAATCATTTTCTGGTAAAATGTGCTTTGTGTTTACTTTCCTTTTGCACTGAACAGAATACCTTTTGGCAGGACATTTGTAAACTTCCTTTAACCAAAGCAACATCTAGATAACAGAGAATTAGGGGAAAGCATGGTTTTCTTTAGGAAGTAGGATTATATTTAGAAAGTAGGGACTATGTATGTTTAGGGACTAACATAGGATTATATTTAGGATAACTCAGTAGAGACCTAAAGATTGCTGACTCAAACACAATGTGGTTTCTTTGCTTTATTTTCATAGCTCTGAATTCACAGCTGTTAGTTATAACTATATGCGCTATAACTTAAAAGGCACCTTCCCACGCCTGTAATCCCAGCACTTTGGGAGGCTGAGGTGGGTAGATTACGAGGTCAGGAGTTCGAGACCAGCCTGGCCAACATAGTGAAATCCTGTCTCTACTAAAAATACAAAAAAACTAGCCAAGCGTGGTGGTGCATGCCTGTAGTCCCAGCTACTCGGGAGTCTGAGGCAGGAGAATCGCTTGAACCCAGGAGGCAGAGGTTGCGGTGAGCCGAGATTGTGCCACTGCACTTCAGCCTGGGCAATAGTGGGAGACTGTCTCCAAAAAATAAATAAATAAATAAATAAATAAATAAATAAATAAATAAATAAATAAAATAAACACACACACACACAAAAAACCAAAAAACAAAACAAAACACCTTCCAAAAGCAAATATTAAGTGACTTCCTATCGTTTCTATGAGTTTATGTATTATAGAATCGACTTTCCAAGTCAGTAATTAATGAGAATCATTGAGAATTTGAGACATAGTATCTTCTTGCCTGTGTCCACATGAGCTACCACCTTGTGTTAATAAATGTGTTCACTAGGGATGTTGGTTTTGGCATTGACAGTGGTCTATTACCAATGCACATAGGACAAGGGACCACTCTTGCGAACATTAATGTCCAAGCACCTTAAAATTATACATAAGGCTTTCATAATGTGACTTCCGCTCAGCTCTCTGTCTTTAGCCCTTTCCCCTGTGTGCCCTTTCTCTGGCCTTACTGAACTGCTGGTCAGGTCCTGCTCACTCATCCCTCGATTGTAGGCAAATACATATACTCTTTCAGGCCTCTGTCTGCCATTTGTTGCTGCCTGTCATGCTCTCATTCTTTCTTACCCCCTACCCCTTCTAATTTAGCTAGCCTCACTCTTTAAGTGTCAGCTTGGGCAGGATCTCTAGAAAAGTCATCTCTGATATGCTTTCTTTTCACTCTTTAAACCCTAGTGCCTAAGACATAGCCAGACTCAATACATAATTGCTGAGTAAAATAGATAATGACTCCTTGTACAAAGATGATTTTCAAGATTGTTCCCTACAGTCAAGGAGCAAAGGGAATAGATGTTTAAAGCAATTGACAGTTTGGGTGGTGGAGATGCAGTAGAAAAATCAGCAAAGTTCTAGGGCAGCCCCAGGGAAGGAGATACCTAGATACCTGTTACCTGGGGAAAGATAGCCAGGATCAGGGTCAACTTCACCTAGCAATCCGTTTTTTATTTTATTGTATTTTATTTATTTATTTTTAGCAGTCTGTTTTAAAAGTTGTTTTAAAAGATGAAAATATTAATACATTTGTCAGAATATTACAGGGAAACATTTCAGATGTTAGGAAGAGGGTGTACACCGATAAAGGTGTCCACAGTCATTTTGGAAATCATTAATAAGGTACTATTGTGAAGTAGAGAACAGTATGCAGCATTGCCTAATAATATTGCTACTGTATTCCAAAATGTGTTTTGTTTGTGATGGCTTTGTTCATTGATGCTGGGTGGAAGGATCTGTGAGTGGATCTTCAAGATGATTGTATTTCTTTAACCTGGTGGCATCTAGTGTCTCCCAGAAAGTGGTTTGTTGACGTTTTGGAGAATTAGAAGTATTTCTTAAAGAAGTAAGTATCCACTAAAGATTAAGCTTCATTTAAACTCTCAATTTATGAAATAAAATGAAATGTAATTTAAAATCTGTTTTTATAAAGACTATGTCTTTTATCTAACTGTTCTAAGTAATTTAACTGAATGTTTGGATTTCACAGCAGAACAAGACTTGGAGCTGACATCAGAGGAAGAGCAAGAAAGACTTAAAGGACATGAAAATAAGCAGCCACAGGTGTGGAAACATTTAAATTAAAATCTAAATTTCTGATTTAATACTGGATTTTTTTTTTGCTTTAATAATGTAAGATAGCCCAAATGAAATTACCTCTCAGACTAGCCTTTGAGAATCAATAGATCCTTACTTAATATTTAATTTTAAATACATTTAAACTAGTTATAAAACACAATATTGTTAGAATCTATCATAACTTATAATATTTACCCTTGGAGTAGAGGCAAACATTCCAGAATTTTGTTTGCTCTTCCATTCTTAAAATATCCTTACAGGATAAAGAAGGTAACATCAATTATTGAATCATATTATTAAGTAACAGAAATTATGAACAATTTAACAGTGATGGTCACTGAGTTGGATTCATGGTTAAAGAGTAATCATGGCCAGTGGCTCAAATTTTGCAGTTTTATATTGCTAGTTACTAATGCCAAGGTTAAAGATGTACTCTGCCTTGTGGCCTTTCATTGACTTCAGAGTCTACGTTCAGTGAGAGTGGGGTTATGAAATCAACCCAACTGCCTATGGAGGGAATCGTACCTCGCAGAATGAGATCTTTGGTGTTAGGGTACAAACAATAACTTTCTAACTTTTTAGATGCAGAAACTTAGTAAATACTACCTTTAAAGTTTTAGTTAGTGTTATTAGGGGACCGTAGTATATGTTAGAACTGAGCTGAAGAAGATAGTCTAGACATACAACCCTATGATGTTACATTATATAATTTGAATTAAAACTTAAGAATTTGCTTTTCTTTCTGATGGGTGTTGATTCGGGCTCCTAATAATTTAAAGATTGCCTACACTCCTGTTAGTAATCTATAGAAAGAGTACTTAAATGTACTGTAGGGGCTCACTTTTCAAGTGAGGAAGCCTTTGTAACACTAGAAATCATCTGCTAATTCGTTTTTGATAGATTTAACACATAATGAATTAAGTTTATTCCAAACAAACAGTGACAAAGTTAAGTTTGCTGGTTCATATTTTTCTCCTCCTTTCTTAGTTACAAGCCAGTGATTTGGGAGTAGCTAAACCTAGATTAAAAAGTTTAACAGTTAAATTTTCATTTTAATTATTTGCGAATTTTTCTTTGTTGATACCTGTTACGTAAGGACAAAGCTGTTTTTAAAACATGTAGCCCGACAAAGAAGGCACCCGAGAAACAAAACAAGCAAATTAATCTTTCACTTTTGCATCTGCAGAAAATGTCTCAAGAACCGGAAATGGCTAAGGATTGTGATAGAGAGGATATACCTGTATATTCAATACTTCCTCATGCGCAAAAGTCTGAGGAAATGTGGATCGAACAAGGTAAATTAGAGTGGAAAAACAAATTAAAACTTGTCACAAATGAGTTAAAGCAGAGGTTTGGTGAAATTCGTGAAACATACAAAATTCCGGTTTGTCCTGAGGAAGAGCCACTACTTGATAACTCTATGAGAAAAACAAATGTAAAAGACATTCCCTTTAATTTGACAAATAATATACCTGGTTGTGTGGAAGAAGATGCATCTGAAGTGTCTGTCTCAGTGGTATTCGAGACATTTCCTGAACAAAATGAACCCAGTCTCAAAAGTATCATCCATCCATACTTTCATCCATACTCTGGGTCCCTGCAACATGCTTGCCAGTCATCTTCTAAGCTTCATTTACATGAAAAGAAATTAGACTGTGACAGTGATAACAAACCAGGCGTTGAACATATTTTTAGTATGGATGAAAACTTTAGTAATGATGCAGGCACTAAGAAAGCAAGGAACCCAGAAGAGGTTACAGTTGAAATGAAAGAAGACCAAGAGTTTGATTTGCAAATGACAAAAAACATGAACCAAAATAGTGACAGTTGCAGTACAAATAACTATAAAAGTCTGAAACCTAAATTAGAAAATCTGAGTTCTTTACCACCAGATTCTTACAGAACATCAGAAGTATATCTACATGAAGAATTACAGCAAGACATGCAAAAGCCTAAGACTGAGGTTGACAGGGTGGAAGAAATGTTCCTGGCTTTGAAGAAAGAAAACGTTCAGCTTCAGAAAGAGGTAGGGTTTTACTTGCTTCCACTTTTTGTTTTTCTCTATTAATTATCTGGACCATTCTGATTTTCCACTTAGGAATAGCTTATGAAAAGCATACAGTTTGGTTCTCTAAATCTGTAATTGTGTATAGAAACAGATGATTTCTAAGTAATAGGAGTTTAGGAAAACTTTCTCGTAATCTTTGTTTCTTGATTGACGTTAAAGTCTCTCTGTCAGTCTTCCACCTGGCATGTGGATTGTGAAACTCATTTAGCCATATATCATGTGACCTTCAGAACCACGAGAGGCATCAAGAAAATTGCTCAAGGAAATGTGATGAGCTTGAGGGCTTTTTCCTTTAACTGACTTAAAGATGAGATGCAGCCAACAATCAGACGGGAATACAGTAGAAAGGAAGCAATGACTAAGAAGTGATATAAAAATGTATCTGGTGGGCATGGTGGCAAACACCTGTAGTCTCAGCTACTCAGGCGCCTGAGACAGGAGGATCGCTTGAGGCCAGGAGTTCTGGGCCGTAGTGTGCTATGCCGTTCAGGTGTTCACACTAAGTTTGGCATCAATATGGTGACCTCCTGGGAGCGGGGCACCACCAGATTGGCTAAGGAAGGGTGAACTTGGCAGGTCAGAAATGGAGCAGGTCATAAATAACTCCCATGCTGATCAGTAGAAGGATTGTGCCTGTGAACACGCACTGCATTCCAGCCCGGGCAACATAGCGAGACCTCATCTCTTACAAAAAAAAAAAAAAAAAAAAAAAAAAAAAAAAAAAGCATCCAGCCCTGGGAGCTGCAGCAAATATTCCTGGCCAATGAATCTGTTTATTGTGCTTTCGTGTTTTCAGGTTTATCTGTTTAACTCAAACTGTTGGAACTTACAATTCCATTGTGACCACTTTAAATCCTTTTCAACAACAAGTATATACACTTTAACATATATATTTTACTGTATGTGGAATCATGATCTTTTATTTCTTTTTAAAGAAATCCCAGAGACATAGCGAGTCAGAGCCTTCCTTACAATCAGAGGATGCAGAGGATGCAGATGAGCTTTTAAGGGTCCTGAGCACAGATCTTGAATTTCTTGATTTGGATCAAATCAGTCCTGAGGAACAGCAGATTAGTTCCCCTGCAAGGCAGCCCTCGGGAGAACTTCAGGAGATAACCCACCAGATGCCCCAAGATGAACTGGGACGAGAAAGAAGGGACTTGGAGCCAGAAAGCAGAGAGGAGGGACAAGAAAGGAGAGTATGTGACATCCAGTCCAAAGCAGGGATCTCCCGGCAGTCATTGATGTCCAGCACCACAGAGGACATTCTGTTTCAAAAGGATGAAAGTGCCTGGGTGTATCCCTTGGTAAGTGTAATGCTTTTAAATATCCCCCAGTGCTCTGAGAGTATTGCACAATAGTGCAATTTTATGTATATGTGTGTGTGGGGGGGGGGAAATACCACCAGAAGGATACTTTTTAAACTAATAATAGACTTGTGTCTTTTTTTTGGACGCAGTCTCTCTGTGTCGCCCAGGGTGGAGTGCTGTGGTACACTCTTGGCTCATTGCAGCCTCCACCTCCCAGGTTCAAGCAATTCTTGTGCCTCTGTCTCCCCAAGTAGCTGGGATTAGGGGCATGAGCCACCACACCTGGCTAATTTTTGTATTTTTAGTAGAGAGGGATCTCGCCATGTTGGCCAGGTTGGTCTTGAACTCCTGACCTCAGGTGATCCACCTGCCTCAGCCTCCCAAAGTGCTGGGATAACAGGCATGAGCCACCGCTCCCGGCCTAGACTTGTGTCTTTTAAAGTTCAGTTAAGAGCTCCGACTGGAACATGTGTGACTGAACATGAACTCGAGAGCTGCATCTGGGTTCAATGGTGTTGCTCAGCAGACAGGAAATTCCAGACATGGTTTGTCTGCTGCATAGGGTGCTATGTCACGTGTGAGATTCAAACTCCATTCTGCGCCCCTCCCCAGCTTCCTCCTCCCCCTTTCCTTCTGGCTTCCTCTCCCTCTTCTTCCCCTCCCTTCCTCTTTTGCTTTTGTCTCCTCCCCTCCTGTCCCCTCTCCATTTCCTCTCTCACATTGTAAAATTCCTCCTCCATGCCACCAATTTCACCCCTTCCCCTTCTTGCCTCACCTCTTCTGCCTTGATATCTTTTTATTCATTTATTTATTGATATATTATGCTTTAAGTTCTAGGGAACATGTGCACAACATGCAGGTTTGTAACATAGTGCCATGTTGGTTTGCTGCACCCATTAACTCGTCATTTACTTTAGGTCTTTCTCCTAATGCCATTCCACCCCCTCCCCCCCACCCCACGACAGGTCCCAGTGTGTGACGTTTCCCACCCTGTGTCCATGTGTTCTCATTGTTCAATGCCCAACTATAAGTGAGAACATGCTGTGTTTCGTTTTCTGTCCTTGTGATAGTTTGCTCAGAATGATGGTTTCTAGCTTCATCCATGTCCCCACAAAGAACATGAACTAATTCTTTTTTTATGGCTGTATATTATTCCATGGTGTTTATGTGTCACATTTTCTTATTCCAGTCTATCACTGATGGACATTTGGGTTGGTTCCAAGTCTTTGCCATTGTAAATAGTGCCACAGTAAACATACATGTGCATGTATCTTTATAGCAGCCTGATTTATAATCCTTCGGGAATATACCCAGTAATGGGATCGCTGGCTCAAATGGTATTTCTAGTTCTAGATGCTTAAGGAATCGCCACACTGTCTTCCACAATGGTTGAACTAGTTTACACTGCCACCATCAGTGTAAAAGCATTCCTGCTAGTTTACACTGCCACCATCAGTGTAAAAGCATTCCTGTTTCTCCACATCCTCTCCAGCACTTGTTGATTCCTGACTTTTTAATGATCGCCATTCTAACTGGTATGAGATGGCATCTCACTGTGGTTTTGATTTGCATTTCTCTGATGACCAATGATGGTGAGCGTGTTTTCATGTGTCTGCTGGCTACATAAATGTCTTCTTTTGAGCAGTGTCTGTTCATATAATTTGCTCACTTTTTGATGGGTTTGTTTGTGTTTTTCTTGTAAATTTGTTTAAGTTCTTTGTAGACTCTGAATATTAGCCCTTTGTCAGATGGGTAGACTGCACAAATTTTCTCCCATTCTGTATGTTGCCCATTCACTCTGATGGAAGTTTCTTTTGCTGTGTAGAAGCTCTTCAGGTTAATTAGATCCCATTTATCTATTTTGGCTTTTGTTGGCATCGCTTTTGGTGTTTTAATCATAAAGTCCTTGCCCATGCCTATGTCCTGAATGGTATTGCCTAGATTTTCTTCTAGGGATTTTATGGTTTTAGGTCTAACAATTAAATCTTTGAATTAATTTGTGTCTAAGGTGTAAGGAAGGGATCCAGTTTCAGCGTTCTACATATGGCTAGCCAGTTTTCCCAGCACCATTATGAAACAGGGAATCTTTTCCGCATTTCTTGTTTTTGTCAGGTTTGTCAAAGATCAGATGGTTGTAGATGTGTGGTGTTATTTCTGAGGCCTCTGTTCTGTTCCTTTGGTCTATATCTCTGTTTTCGTAGCAGTACCATGGTGTTTTGGTTACTGTAGGCTTGCAGTGTAGTTTGAAGTCAGGTAGTGTGATGCCTTCAGCTTTGTGCTTTTTGCTTAGTATTGTCTTGGCAATGTGGGCTCATTTGTGGTTCCATATGAACTTTAGAGTAGTTTTTTCCAGGTCTGTGAAGAAAGTCATTGGTAGCTTGATGGGGATGGCATTGAATCTATAAAATACCTTGAGTAGTATAGCCATTTTCACAATACTGACTGTTCCTGTCCGTGAGCATGGAATGTTCTTCCATTTGTTTGTGTCATCCTTTATTTCGTTGGGCAGTGGTTTGTAGTTCTCCTTGAAGAGGTCCTTCACATCCCTTGTAAGTTGGATTCTTAGGTATTTTATTCTCTTTGTAGCAATTGTGAATGGGAATTCACTCATGATTTGGCTCTCTGTTTGTCTGTTATTGGTGTATAGGAATGCTTGTGATTTTTGCACATTGATTTTATATCCCGAGACTTCGGTGAAGTTGCTTATCAGCTTAAGGAGATTTTGGGCTGAGATGATGGGATTTTCTAAATAAACAATCATGTCATCTGCAAATGGACAATTTGTCTTCCTCTTTTCCTAATTGAATACCATTTATTTCTTTCTCTTGCCTGATTGCTCTGGCCAGAGCTTCCAACACTATGTTGAGTAGGATTTGTGAGAGAGGGCATCACTGTCTTGTGCCAGTTTTCAAAGGGAATGCTTCCAGTTTTTGCCCATTCAGTAAGATATTGACTTTGGGTGTGTCATAAAGAGCTCTTAATATTTTGACCTACGTTTCGTCAATACCTAGTTTATTGAGAGTTTTTAGCATGAAGAACTGTTGAATTTTGTCGAAGGCCTTTTCTGCATCGATTTGATATATTCACGTGGTTTCTGTCGTTGGTTCTGTTTATGTGATGGATTACACTTATTGATTTGCGTATGTAGAACCAGCTTTGTATCCCGGGGCTGAAGCCGACATGATCGTGCTGGATAAGCTTTTTGATGTGCTGCTGGATTTGGTTTGCCAGTATTTCACCGAGGACTTTTGCATCGATGTTCATCATGGATATTAGTCTAAAATGCTGTTTTTATGTTGTTGTGTCTCTGCAAGGCTTTGGTATCAGGATAATATTGGCCTCATAAAATGAGTTAGGGAGGAGTCCCTCTTTTTCTGTTGATTGGAATATTTTTAGAAGGATTGGTACCAGCTCCTCTTTGCACCTCTGGTAGAATTTGGCTGTGAATCCATCTGGTCCTGGACTTTTTTTGTTTGGTAGGCTATTGATTATTGCCTCAATTTCATAGCCTGTTATTGGTCTATTCAGATTTTCAACTTCTTCCTTGTTTAATCTTGGGATGGTGTATGGGTCCAGGAGTTTATCCATTTCTTTAGATTTTCTAGTTTATTTGCGTAGAGGTCTTTATAGCATTCTCTAATCGTAGTTTGTATTTCTGGGTGATTGGTGGTGATATCCCCTTTATCGTTTTTTTATTTTGAATTCTTCTCTCTTTTCTTCTTTATTAACCTTGCTAGCATTCTATCAATTTTGTTGATCTTTTAAAAAACCAGTTCCTGGATTCATTGATTTTTTGAATGATTTTTTTGTGTCTGTATCTCATTCAGTTCTTCTCTGATCTTAGTTATTTCTTGCCTTCTGCTAACTTTTGAATTTGTTTGTTCTTGCTTCTCTAGTTCTTTTAATTGTGGGATGTTAGTGTGTTGAGTTTAGATCTTTTCTGCTTTCTCTTGAGGGCATTTAGTGCTATCAGTTTCCCACTACACATTGCATAAATGTGTCCCAGAGATTCTGGTATGTTGTGTCTTGGTTCTCATTGGTTTCAAAGAACATCTTTATTTCTGCCTTCATTTCATTATTTACCTAGCAGTTGCTCAGGAGCAGGTTGTTCAGTTTCCATGTAGTTGTGCAGTTTGGAGTGAGTTTCTTAATCCCGAGTTCTAATTTGATTGCACCGTGGTCTGAGAGACAGTTTGTTGTGATTTCTGTTCTTTTACATTTGCTGAGGAGTGCTTTACTTCCAACTATGTGGTCGGTTTTGGAGTAAGTGCGATGTGGTGCTGAGAAGAATGTATATTCTGTTGATTTGTGGTGGAGAGTCCTGTAGATGTCTATTAGGTAGACTTTGTGCAGAACTGAATTCAAGTCCTGGATATCCTTGTTGACTTTCTGTCTGGTTGATCTGTCTAATATTGACAGTGTGGTTTTAAAGTCTCCCACTATTATTGTGTGGGAGTCTAAGTCTCTTTGTAGGTCTCTAAGGACTTGCTTTATAAATCTGTGTACTCCTGTATTGGCTGCATATGTATGTAGGGTAGTTAGCACTTCTGGTTGAATTGACCCCTTTACTGTTATGTAATGGCCTTCTTTGTCCCTTTGATCTTTGTTCCTTTAAAGTCTGTTTTTTCAGAAACTAGAATTGCAACCCCTGCTCTTTTCTGCTTTCCATTTGCTTGGCAGATCTTCCTCCATCCCTTTATTTTGAGCCTATGTGTGTCTCTGCACGTGAGATGGGTCTCCTGAATACAGCACACTGATGGGTCTTGACTCTTTATCCAATTTGCCAGTCCATGTCCATTAATTGGGGCATTTAGCCCATTTACAATTAAGGTTAATATTGTGCACATGTGAGTTTGATCTTGTCATTATGATGTTAGCAGGTAATTTTGCCTGTTAGTTGATGCAGTTTCTTCCTGGCATCAACAGTCTTTACAATTTGGCATGCTTTTGCAGTGGCTTGTACCAGTTGTTCCTTTCCATGTTTAGTGCTTCATTCAGGAGCTCTTGTAAGGCAGGCGTGGTGGTGACAAAATCTCTCCACATTTGCTTGTCTGTAAAGGATTTTATTTCTTCTTCACTTATGAAGTTTAGTTTGGCTGGATATGAAATTCTGAGTTAAATTCTTTTCTTTAAGAATGTTGAATATTGGCCCCCACTGTCTTCTGGCTTGTAGAGCTTCTGCCGAGTGGTCCGCTGTTAGTCTGATGGGCTTCCCTTCGTGGGTAACCCGACCTCTCTCTCTGGCTGCCCTTATCACTTTTTCCTTCATTTTAACCTTGGTGAATCTGAGAATTATGTGTCTTGGGGTTGCTCTTCTCGAGGAGTACCTTTGTGGTGGTCTCTGTGTTTCTTGAATTTGAATGTTGGCCTGCTTTGCTAGGTTGGGGAAGTTCTCCTGGATAATATCCTGAGGAGTGTTTTCCAACTTGGTTCCATTCTCCTCGTCAGTTTCAGGTACACCAATCAAACGTAGATTTGGTCTTTTCACATAGTCCCATGTTTCTTGGAAGCTTTGTTCGTTTCTTCTTACTCTTTTTTCTCTAAACTTCTCTTCTTGCTTTATTTCATTAAACTGATCTTCAATCACTGATACCCTTTCTTCCACTTGATGGAATTGGCTGTTGAAGCTTGTGCCTGCATCACATAGCTCTCATGCCATGGTTTCAGCTCCGTCAGGTCATTTAAGGTCTTCTCTACACTATTTATTCTAGTTAGCCATTCGTCTAATCGTTTTTCAAGGTATTTATCTTTCTCACGATGGGTTCAAACATCCTCCTTTAGTTCAGAGAAGTTTGTTATTACCGACCTACTGAAGGCTATTTCTGTCAGCTCGTCAAAGCCATTCTCCGTTCTGTTGCCGGTAAGGATCTGTGATCCCTTGGAGGAGAAGAGGTGCTTGGTTTCTAGAAGAGGTGCTTGGTTTTTAGAATTTTCAGGTTTTCTACTCTGGTTTTTCCCCATCTTTGTGGTTTTATCTACCTTTGGTCTTTGGTGTTGCTGACTTATAGTTGGGGGTTTTGGTGTGGATGTCCTTTTTGTTGATGTTGATGCTATTCCTTTCTGTTTGTTAGTTTTCTTTCTAGCAGTCAGGTCCCTTAGCGGCAGCTCTGTTGGTGTTACTGAAAGTCCACTCCAGGCGCTGTTTGCCTGGGTATCACTGGTGGAGGCCGCAGAACAGCAAATATTGCAGAACAAGAAATGTCGCTGCCTGATCCATCCTCTGGAAGCTTTGTCCCAGAGGGGCACCCAGCTGTATGAGGTGTCAGTCGGCCCCTACTGGGAGGCGTCTCCCAGATAGACTACCTGGGGGTCAGGGACTCACTGAGGAGGCAGTCTGTCCATTCTCCGAGCTCAAACACCATGTTGGGAGAACCACTGCTCTCTTCAGAGCTGTCAGACAGGGAGGTTTAAGTCTGCAGAAGTTTCTGCTGCCTTTTGTTTAGCTATGCACTGCCCCTAAAGATGGAGACTAGAGGCAGTAGGCCTTGCTGAGCTGCGGTGGGCTCCACCCAGTTTGAGCTTCCCTGGCTTGTTTACCTACCCAAGCCTCAGCAATGGCGGACACTCCTTTTACTGCCTGGCTACTGCCTGACAGGTCGATCTCAGACTGCTGTGCTAGTGGTGAGCAAGGCTCCATGGGCATGGGACCTGCTGAACCAGGCGTGGGATATAATCTCCTGGTGTGCTGTTTGCTAAGCCTGTTGCAAAAGCGCAGTATTTGGGTGGGAGTGTCCTGTTTTTGCAGGTACCGTCTGTCACAGCTTCCCTGGCTAGGAAAGGGAAATCCCTTGACCCCATGCACTTCCCAGGTGAGGCGATGGCGTTCCCTGCTTCGGCTTGCCCTCCGTGACTGCACCCACTTTCCAACCTGTCCCAGTGAGATGAACCAGATACCTCAGTTAGAAATGCAGAAATCCCACATCTTCTGCGTCTATCATGCTGGGAGCTGCAGACTGGAGCTTTTCCTTTTCTGGGATCTTGAAACGGAATCTCTTTTTTCTCCATCAATGATCTGGACCATTCTGATTTTCCCTTTAGGAATAGCTTATGAAAAGCGTACAGTTTGGTTCTCTGAATCTATAATTGTGCGTAGAAAAAGATGATTGCCAAGTAATAGGAGTTTAGGAAAACTTTCTCATAATCTTTGTTTCTTAATCGACCTAAGTCTCTCTGTCAGTCTTCCAAGGGGCATATAGATTGTGAAACTCATTTAGCCATATGTCATGTGACCTTCAGAACCACGAGAGGCATCAAGAAAATTGCTCAAGGAAATGCAAAGAGCTTGAGGGCTTTTTCCTTTCACTGACTTAAAAATGAGATGCAGCTAACAATAAGATGGGAATACAGTAGAAAGGAAGCGATGACTAAGAAGTGATATAAAAATGTATCTGGTGGGCATGGTGGTGAACACCTGTAGTCTCAGCTACTCGGAAGCCTGAGGCAGGAGGATTGCTTGAGCCCAGGAGTTCTGGGCCATAGTGTGCTATGCTGTTCAGATGTTCACACTAAGTTTGGCATCAATATGGTGACCTCCTGGGAGCGGGGCACCACCAGATTGGCTAAGGAAGGGTGAACTGACCCAGGTGGGAAATGGAGCAGGTCATAAGTAACTCCTGTGCTGATCAGTAGTGGGATCGTGCCTGTGAACAGTTACTGCATTTCAGCCTGGGCAACATAGCGAGACCTCATGTCTTACATTAAAAAAAAAAAAATGTGTTCATCCCGGAGAGCTGCAGCAAATATTCCTCACCAATGAATCTGTTTATTGTGCTTTGGCATTTTCAGCTTTATCTATTTAACTCAGACTGTTGGAACTTACAATTCTATCGTGACCACTTTAAATATTTTTCAACAACAAGCATATACACTTTAATATATGTGTTTTACTGTGTGTGGAATCATGATCTTTTATTTCTTTTTAAAGAAAAAAACCCAAAGAGATAGCAAGTCAAAGCCTTCCTTGCAATCAGAGGATGCAGAGGATGCAGATGAGCTTTTAAGAGTCCTGAGCACAGACCTTGAATTTCTTGATTTGGATCAAATCAGTCCTGAAGATCAACAGATTAGTTCCCCTGCAAGGCAGCCCTTGAAAGAACTTGAGGAGAAAACTGACCAGATGCCCCAAGATGAACTGGGACGAGAAAGAAGGGACTTGGAGCCAGAAAGCAGAGAGGAGGGACAAGAAAGGAGAGTATGTGACATCCAGTCCAAAGCAGGGATCTCCCGGCCATCACTGATGTCCAGCACCACAGACGACACCCTGTTTCAAAAGGATGAAAGTGCCTGGGTGTATCCTTTGGTAAGTGTAATGCTTTTAAATCTCCCCCAGCCCTTTGAGAGTATTGCGCAATAGGGGAATTTTATGTGTGTGTGTGGCGGGGGGGGGAGGAAATACCACCAGAAGGATACTTTTTAAACTAATAATAGACTTGTGTCTTTTTTTGGATGCAGTCTCTCTGTGTCGCCCAGGCTGGAGTGCTGTGGTATGCTCTTAGCTCATTGCAGCCTCTACCTCCCAGGTTCAAGCAATTCTTGTGCCTCTGTCTCCTGAGTAGCTGGTATTAGGAGCATGAACCACGACATCTGGCTAATTTTTGTATTTTTAGTAGAGAGGGGTCTCACCATGTTGGCCAGGTTAGTCTTGAACTCCTGACCTCAGGTGATCCACCTGTCTCAGCCTCCCAAAGTGCTGGGATAACAGGCATGAGCCACCGCTCCCGGCCTAGACTTGTGTCTTTTAAAGTTCATTTAAGAGCTCCGACTGGAACATGTGTGACTGAACATGAACTCGAGAGCTGCATCTGGGTTCAATGGTGTTGCTCAGCAGACAGGAAATTCCAGACATAGTTTGTCTGTTGCATAGGGTGCTATGTCACGTGTGAGATTCAAACTCCATTCTGCGCCCCTCCCCAGCTTCCTCCTCCCCCTTTACTTCTCGCTTCTTCTCCCTTTTCTTCCCCTCCCCTCCCCTTTCCCTTTTCTCTCCTTCCCTCCTATCCTCTCTCCTTTTCCTCTCTCACATTATAAACTTCCTCCTCCATGCCACCGATTTCACCCCTTCCCCTTCTTGCCTCACCTCTTCTGCCTTGATACCTTTTTTTTTTTAAAAAAAGTATACTTTAAGTTCTAGGGAACACGTGCGCAATGTGCAGTGTTTTGACATAGGTATACATGTGCCATGTTGGTTTGCTGCACCCATTAACTCGTCATTTATATTAGGTATTTCTCTTAATGCTATCCCTCCCCCTTTCCCCCACCCCATGACAGGTCCTGGTGTGTTATGTTCCCCGCCCTGTGTCCATGTGTTCTCATTGTTCAATTCCCAACTATGAGTGAGAACATGCGGTGTTTGGTTTTCTGTCCTTGTGACAGTTTGCTCAGAATAATGGTTTCCAGCTTCATCCATGTCCCTACAAAGGACATGAACTCATCCTTTTTTATGGCTGCATAGTATTCCACAGTGTTTATGTGCCACATTTTCTTTATCCAGTCTATCATTGATGGACATTTGGGTTGGTTCCAAGTCTTTGCCATTGTGAATAGTGCCACAATGAACATACGTGTGCGTGTGTCCTTATAGTAGCATGATTTATAATCCTTTGGGTGTATACCCAGTAATGGGATAGTTGAGTCAAATGGTATTTCTAGTTCTAGATCCCTGAGGGAAAGTCACACTGTCTTCCACAATGGTTGAACTAGTTTACACTCCCACCAACAATGTAAAAGTGTTCGTATTTCTCTACATCCTCTTAGGGACCTGTTGGTTCCTGACTTTTTAATGATCGCTGTTCTAACTGGTGTGAGATGGTATCTCATTGTGGTTGTGATTTGCGTTTCTCTGATGACCAGTGATGATGAGCATGTTTTCATGTGTCTGTTGGCTGCATAAATGTCTTCTTTTGAGCAGTGTCTGTCATATCCTTTGCCCACTCTTTGATGGGGTTGTTGTGTTTTTCTTGTAAAGTTGTTTAAGTTCTTTGTAGACTCTGGATATAAGCCCTTTGTCAGATGAGTAGATTGCACACATTTTCTTCCGTTCTGTAGGTTGCGTGTTCACTCTGATGGTAGTTTCTTTTGCTGTGCAGAAGCTGTTTAGTTTGATTAGATCCCCTTTGTCTATTTTGTCTTTTGTTACCATTGCTTTTTGTGTTTTAGTCATGAAGTCCTTGCCCATGCCTGTGTCCTGAATGGTATTGCCTAGGTTTTCTTCTAAGGTTTTCATGGTTTTAGGTCTAACAATTAAGTCTTTGAATTAATTTGTGTCTAAGGTGTAAGGAAGGGATCCAGTTTCAGCGTTCTACATATGGCTAGCCAGTTTTCCCAGCACCATTATGAAACAGGGAATCCTTTCCGCATTTCTTGTTTTTGTCAGGTTTGTCAAAGATCAGATGGTTGTAGATGTGTGGTGTTATTTCTGAGGCCTCTGTTCTGTTCCTTTGGTCTATATCTCTGTTTTCGTAGCAGTACCATGGTGTTTTGGTTACTGTAGGCTTGCAGTGTAGTTTGAAGTCAGGTAGCGTGATGCCTCCAGCTTTGTGCTTTTTGCTTAGTATTGTCCTGGCAATGTGGGCTCATTTGTGGTTCTATATGAACTTTAGAGTAGTTTTTTCCAGGTCTGTGAAGAAAGTCATTGGTAGCTTGATGGGGATGGCATTGAATCTATAAAATACCTTGAGTAGTATAGCCATTTTCACAATACTGACTGTTCCTGTCCATGAGCATGGAGTGTTCTTCCATTTGTTTGTGTCATCCTTTATTTCATGGGGCAGTGGTTTGTAGTTCTCCTTGAAGAGGTCCTTCACATTCTTTGTAAGTGGGATACCTTGGTGTTTTATTCTCTTTGTAGCAATTGTGAATGGGAATTCACTCATGATTTGGCTCTCTGTTTGTCTGTTATTGGTGTATAGGAATGCTTGTGATTTTTGCTTGTTGATTTTGTATCCTGAGACTTTGTTGAAGTTGCTCATGAGTTTAAGAAGATTTTGGGCTGAGATGATGGAATTTTCTAATTATACAGTCATGTCATCTGCAAACAGGGACAATTTTTTGTCTTCCTCTTTTTCTAATTGAGTACGCTTTATTTCTTTCTCTTCCCTGATTGCCCTGGCCAGAGCTTCCAACACTATTTTGAATAAGAGTGGTAATAAAGGGCATCACTGTCTTGTGCCAGTTTTCAAAGGGAATGCTTCCAGCTGTTGTCCATTCAGTATGATATCAGTTGTGGGTTTGTCATACATAGCTCTTATTATTTTGAGATATGTTCCATCAATACCTAGTTTATTGAGAGTTTTTAGCATGAAGTACTGTTGGATTTTGTCGAAGGCGTTTTCTGCATTGATTTGAGATAATCATGTGGTTTCTGTCGTTGGTTCTGTTTATGTGATGGATTACGTGTATTGATTTGTATATGTTGAAGCAGCCTTGCATCCCTGGGATGACGCTGACTTGATCGTGGCGGATAAGCTTTGTGATGTGCTGCTGGATTCGGTTTGCCAGTATTTTATTGAGGATTTTGGCATCAATGTTCATCAGGAATATTGGTCTAAAATACTGTTTTTATTTTGTTGTGTCTCTGCCAGGCTTTAGTATCAGGATGATGCTGGCCTCATAAAATGGGTTAGGGAGGATTCCCTCTTTCTCTATTGATTGGAATACTTTCAGAAAGATTGTTACCATCTCCTCTTTGTACCTCTGGTAGAATTTGGCTGTGAATCCATTTGGTCCTGGACTTTTTTTGGTTGGTAGGCTGCTGATTATTGCCTCACTTTCATAGCCTGTTATTGGTCTATTCAGAGATTCAACTTCTTCCTGCTTTAGTCTTGGGAGGGTGTATGTGTCCAGGAATTTATCCATTTCTTCTAGATTTTCTAGTTTATTTGCATAGAGGTGTTTATAGTATTCTATGATGTTAGTTTGTATTTCTGTGTGATCTGTGGTTATATCCCCTTTTTCATTTTTTGTTGCATCTATTTGATTCTTCTCTCTTTTCTTCTTTGTTAGTCTTGCTAGCATTCTATCAATTTTGTTGATCTTTTCAAAAAACCAGCTCCTGGATTCATTTATTTTTTTGAAAGGATTTTTTTGTGTGTCTCTATCTCCTTCAGCTTTGCTCTGATCTTATTTATTGCCTTGTGCTAGCTTTTGAATTTGTTTGTTCTTGCTTCTCTAGTTCTTTTGATTGTGATGTTAATGTCGATTTTAGATCTTTCCTTCTTTCTCTTGTGGGCATTTAGTGCTGTAAATTTCCCTCTACACACTGCTTTAAACGTGTCCCAGAGATTCTGGTATGTTGTGTCTTTATTCTCATTGGTTTCAAAGATCATCTTTATTTCTGCCTTCGTTTCGTTATGTACCCAGTAGTCATTCAGGAGCAGTTTGTTCTGTTTCCATGTAGTTGTGCGGTTTGGAGTGAGTTTCTTTTTCCCGAGTTCTAATTTGTTTGTATTTTGGTCTTAGAGATAGTTTGTTGTGATTTCTGTTCTTTTACATTTGCTGAGGAGTGCTTTACTTCCAACTATGTGGTCAGTTTTGGAATAAGTGTGATGTGGTGCTGAGAAGAATGCATACCCTGTTGATTTGGGATAGAGAGTTCTGTAGATTTCTATTAGGTCTGCTTCATGCAGAGCTGAGTTCACGTCCTGGATATCCTTGTTAACTTTCTGTCTCATTGATTTGTCTAACATTGACAGTGGGGTGTTAAAGACTCCCATTATTATTGTGTGGGAGACCAAGTCTTTTTGCAGGTCTCTAAGGACTTGCTTTATGAATCCGGGTGCTCCTGTATTGGGTCCATAATATATGGTAGTTAGCTCTTCTTGTTGAATTGATCCCTTTACCATTATGCAATGGCCTTCTTTGTCCATTTTGATCTTTGTTGGTTTAAAGTCTGTTTCATCAGAGACTTGGATTGCAACCCCTGCTCTTTTTTGCTTTGTGTTTGCTTGGTAGATCTTCCTCCATCCCTTTATTTTGAGCCTACATGTGTCTCTGCACGTGAGACGGGTCTCCTGAAGACAGCACACTGATGGGTCTTGACTCTTTATTCAATTTGCCAGTCTGTGTCTTTTAATTGGGGCATTTAGCTCATTCACAGTTAAGGATAATATTGTTACGTGTGAATTTGATCCTGTCTTTATGATGCTAGCTGGTTATTTTGCCCATTAGTTGATGCAGTTTCTTCCTAGCATCGATGGTCTTCACAATTTGGCACGTTCTTTTGCAGTGGCTGGTACCGATTGTTCTTTTCCATGTTTAGTGCTTCCTTCAGGAACTCTTGTAAGGCAGGCGTGGTGGTGACAGAATCTCTCCACATTTGCTCGTCTGTAAAGGATTTTATTTCTTCTTCACTTATGAAGCTTAGTTTGGCTGGTTATGAAATTGTGGGTTGAAAATTCTTTTCCTTAAGAATGTTGAATATTAGCCCCCACTCTCTTCTGGCTTGTAGAGTTTCTGTCAAGAGATCCACTGTTAGTCTGATGGGCTTCCCTTTGTGGGTAACCCGACCTCTCTCTCTGGCTGCCCTTATCACTTTTTCCTTCATTTTAACCTTGGTGAATCTGAGAATTATGTGTCTTGGGGTTGGTCTTCTCAAGGAGTACCTTTGTGGTGGTCTCTCTGTTTCTTGAATTTGAACGTTGGCCTGCCTTGCTAGGTTGGGGAAGTTCTCCTGGATAATATCCTGAGGAGTGTTTTCCAACTTGGTTCCATTCTCCCCGTCAGTTTCAGGTACACCAATCAAACGTAGATTTGGTCTTTTCACATAGTCCCATATTTCTTGGAAGCTTTATTCGTTTCCTGTTACTCTTTTTTCTCTAAACTTCTCTTCTTGCCTTATTTCATGAAGTTGATCTTCAATCACTATTACCCTTTCTTCCAGTTGAGGAAATCGGCTATTGAAGCTTGTGCATGCGTCACATAGTTCTCATGCCATGAGTTTTCAGCTCCGTCAGGTCATTTAACGTCTTCTCTACACTGTTTATCCCAGTTAGCCATTCATCTAATCTTTTTTCAAGGTATTTATCTTCCTCGTGATGGGTTCGAATATCCTCCTTTAGCTCGGAGAGGTTTGTTATTACTGACCTTCTGAAAGCTATTTCTGTCAGCTCGTCAAAGTCATTCTCCATCCAGCTTTGTTCTGTTGCTGGAGATGAGCTGTGATCCCTTGGAGGACAAGAGGTAGTCTGGTTTTTAGAATTTTCAGCTTTTCTGCTCTGGTTTCTCCCCATCTTTGTGGTTTTATCTACCTTTGGTCTTTGATGTTGGTGACCTACAGATGGGGTTTTGGTATGGATGTCCTTTTTGTTGATGTTGATGCTATTCCTTTCTGTGTGTTAGTTTTCCTTCTAACAGTCAGGTCCCTGAGCTGCAGGTCTGTTGGAGTTTACTGAAAGTCCACTCCAGATGCTGTCTGTCTGGGTATCACCAGCGTAGGGTGCAGAACAGCAAATATTGCAGAACAGCAAATGTTGCTGCCTGATCCTTCCTCTGGAAGCTTTGTCCCAGAGGGGCACCTGCCTGTATGAGGTGTCAGTCGTCCCCTACTTGGAGGTGTCTCCCAGATTGCCTACCTGGGGGTCAGGGACCTACTGAGGAGGCAGTCTGTCCATTCTGTGAGCTCAAACACCGTGCTGGGAGAACCACTGCTGTCTTCAGAGGTGTCACACAGGGAGGTTTAAGTTTGCAGAAGTTTCTGCTGCCTTTTGTTCAGCTATGCTCTGTCCCCAGAGATGGAGTCTAGAGTCAGTAGGCCTTGCTGAGCTGTGGTGAGCTTTGCCCGGTTTGAACTTCCCAGGCTTCTTTATTTACCTACCCAAGCCTCAGCAATGGTGGGCACCCCTTTCCCTGCCAGGCTGCTGCGCTAGCAGTGAGCAAGGCTCCATGGGCATGGGACCTGCTGAACCAGTCGTGGAGTATAATCTGCTGGTGCAGTTTGCTAAGACCATTGCAAAAGTGCAGTATTTGGATGGGAGTGTCCCATTTTTTCCAGGTACTGTCTGTCACGGCTTCCCTTGGCTAGGAAAGGGAAATACTCCGACCCCTCACACTTGCTGGGTGAGGCATTTCCCCATCCTGCTTTGGCTTGCCCTCCGTGGGCTGCACCCCCTTTCCAACCAGTCCCAGTTAGATGAAGCAGGTACCTCAGTTGGAAATGCAGAAATCCCCCGTCCTCTGCGTCTGTCACGCTGGGAGTTGCAGACCAGAGCTGTTCCTATTCGGGCTTCTTGGAACGGACTCTGTTTTTTCTGTATCAATTATCTGGTCCATTCCAATTTTCCACTTCGGAATAGCTTATGAAAAGCATACAGTTTGATTCTCTAAATCTGTAATTGTGTATAGAAACAGATGATTTGTAAGCAATAGAGTTTAGGAAAACTTTCTCATAATCTTTGTTTCTTAATCAACCTAAGTCTCTCTGTCAGTCTTCCAAGTGGCATGTGGATTGTGAAACTCATTTTGCCATATATCATGTGACCTTGAGAACCAGGAGAGGCATCAAGAAAATCTATAAAGGAAATGCAATGAGCTTGAGTGCTTTTTCCATTTACTGACTTAAAAATAAGATGTAGCTAACAATAAGATGGGAATACAGTAGAAAGGAAGCAATGACTGAGAAGAGAGATCAAAAGGCATCTGGTGGGCATGGTCGCAAACACCTGTAGTCTCAGCTTCTCTGGAGCCTGAGGCAGGAGCATCTGTTGAGCCGGGAGTTCTGGGCCATAGTGTGGTAGGCCGATCAGGTGTTCACACTAAATTCAGCATCCGTATTGTGACCTCCTGGGAGCAAGGCACCACCAGATTGACTAAGGAAGGGTGAACTTGGCCCAGGTCGGAAATGGAGCAGGTCATAAGTAACTCCTGAGCTGATCAGCAGAAGGATCGCGAATGTGAACAGCTACTGCATTCCAGCCCGGGCAACATAGCGAGACCTCATCTCTTACCAAAAAAAAAAAAAAAAGTGTCCAGCCCTGGGAGCTGCAGCAAATATTCCTGGCCAATGAATCTGTTTATTGTGCTTTCGTGTTTTCAGGTTTATCTGTTTAACTCAAACTGTTGGAACTTACAATTCCATTGTGACCACTTTAAATATTTTTCAACAAGTATATACACTTTAACATATATATTTTACTGTATGTGGAATCATGATCTTTTATTTCTTTTTAAAGAAATCCCAGAGACATAGCGAGTCAGAGCCTTCCTTACAATCAGAGGATGCAGAGGATGCAGATGAGCTTTTAAGGGTCCTGAGCACAGATCTTGAATTTCTTGATTTGGATCAAATCAGTCCTGAGGAACAACAGATTAGTTCCCCTGCAAGGCAGCCCTCGGGAGAACTTCAGGAGATAACCCACCAGATGCCCCAAGATGAACTGGGACGAGAAAGAAGGGACTTGGAGCCAGAAAACAGAGAGGAGGGACAAGAAAGGAGAGTATGTGACATCCAGTCCAAAGCAGGGATCTCCCGGCCATCACTGATGTCCAGCACCACAGACGACACCCTGTTTCAAAAGGATGAAAGTGCCTGGATGTATCCCTTGGTAAGTGTAATGCTTTTAAATCTCCCCCAGCGCTTTGAGAGTATTGTGCAATAGGGGAATTTTATGCATGTAGAGGGTGGGGAAAATACCACCAGAAGGAGACTTTTCAAACTAATAATAGACTTTTGTCTTTTTTTTTTTTTTTTTTGACAGAGTCTCTCTGTCACCCAGGCTGGAATGCAGTGGCACGATCTTGGCTCACTGCAGCCTCCACCTCCCAGGTTGAAGTGATACTTGTTCCTCAGTCTCATGAGTAGCTGAAGATTAGGGCATGAGCCACGCACAGCGGCGCCTCTAATTTTTGTATTTTTGTAGAGAGGGATCTCGCATGTTGGACGCAGATGGTCTTGAACTCCTGACCTCAGGTGATCCACGCTGCCTCGAGCCATCGCAAAGTGCTTGGGATTAATTACAGGATTGAGCCACTGCTCCCTGGCCTAGACTTGTGTCTTTTAAAGTTCATTTAAGAGCTCCGACTGAACATGTGTGACTGACATTAAACTTAGAGCCGTATCTGGGTTCAATGGTTTGCTTCTACAAGGTAGGAAATTCCAGACATAGTTGTCCTGTTGCATAGGGTGCTATGTCACGTGTGAGATTCAAAGCCATTCTGCGCCCCTCCCCAGCTTCCTCCCCCCCTTTCTTCTCACTTCTCTCCTTCTTCCCTTCCCCTCCCCTTTCCCTTTTTTTCTCTCCTCCTGTCCCCCTCCTTCTCCTTTCTTCTCACACTGTTAAAATTCCTCCTTCCGTGCCAGCAATTTCCGCCCTTCCCCGTCTTGTCCTCACTTCTTCTGCCTTGATGTATTTTTTTTTTTTAAAGTTATACTTTAAATTGCAGGTAATAGTGCACAATGTGCAGGTTTGTGACATGGTATACATGTCCCATGTTGGGTTGCTGTACCCACTAAGTTGTCATTTACATTAGGTATTCTCTTAATCTATCCCTCCCCTTTCCCCCACCCATGACAGGTCCTGGTGTGTGACGTTCCCCCACCTGTGTCCAAGTTTGTTCTCATTGTTCAATTCCCAAACATATAGTGAGAACATGCGGTGTTGGTTTTCTGTCCTTGTGACAGTTTGCTCAGAATAATGGTTTCCAGCTTCATCCATGTCCCTACAAAGGACATGAACTCATCCTTTTTTATGGCTGCATAGTATTCCACAGTGTTTATGTGCCACATTTCTTTATCCAGTCTATCATTGATGGACATTTGGGTTGGTTCCAAGTCCTTTGCCATTGTGAATAGTGCCACAATGAACATACGTGTGCGTGTGTCCTTATAGTAGCATGATTTATAATCCTTTGGGTGTATACCCAGTAATGGGATAGTTGAGTCAAATGGTATTTCTAGTTCTAGATCCCTGAGGGAAAGTCACACTGTCTTCCACAATGGTTGAACTAGTTTACACTCCCACCAACAATGTAAAAGTGTTCGTATTTCTCTACATCCTCTTAGGGACCTGTTGGTTCCTGACTTTTTAATGATCGCTGTTCTAACTGGTGTGAGATGGTATCTCATTGTGGTTGTGATTTGCGGTTTCTCTGATGACCAGTGATGATGAGCATGTTTTTCATGTGTCTGTTGGCTGCATAAATGTCTTCTTTTGAGCAGTGTCTGTCATATCCTTTGCCCACTCTTTGATGGGGTTGTTGTGTTTTTCTTGTAAAGTTGTTTAAGTTCTTTGTAGACTCTGGATATAAGCCCTTTGTCAGATGAGTAGATTGCACACATTTTCTTCCGTTCTGTAGGTTGCTGTTCACTCTGATGGTAGTTTCTTTGCTGTGCAGAAGCTGTTTAGTTGATTAGATCCCCTTTGGTCTATTTTGTCTTTTGTTACCATTGCTTTTTGTGTTTTAGTCATTGAAGTCCTTGCCCATGCCTGTGTCCTGAATGGTATTGCCTAGGTTTTCTTCTAAGGTTTTCATGGTTTTAGGTCTAACAATTAAGTCTTTGAATTAATTTGTGTCTAAGGTGTAAGGAAGGGATCCAGTTTCAGCGTTCTACATATGGCTAGCCAGTTTTCCCAGCACCATTATGAAACAGGGAATCCTTTCCGCATTTCTTGTTTTTGTCAGGTTTGTCAAAGATCAGATGGTTGTAGATGTGTGGTGTTATTTCTGAGGCCTCTGTTCTGTTCCTTTGGTCTATATCTCTGTTTTCGTAGCAGTACCATGGTGTTTTGGTTACTGTAGGCTTGCAGTGTAGTTTGAAGTCAGGTAGCGTGATGCCTCCAGCTTTGTGCTTTTTGGCTTAGTATTGTCCTGGCAATGTGGGCTCATTTGTGGTTCTATATGAACTTTAGAGTAGTTTTTTCCAGGTCTGTGAAGAAAGTCATTGGTAGCTTGATGGGGATGGCATTGAATCTATAAAATACCTGAGTAGTATAGCCATTTTCACAATACTGACTGTTCCTGTCCATGAGCATGGAGTGTTCTTCCATTTGTTTGTGTCATCCTTTATTTCATGGGGCAGTGGTTTGTAGTTCTCCTTGAAGAGGTCCTTCACATTCTTTGTAAGTGGGATACCTTGGTGTTTTATTCTCTTTGTAGCAATTGTGAATGGGAATTCACTCATGATTTGGCTCTCTGTTTGTCTGTTATTGGTGTATAGGAATGCTTGTGATTTTTGCTTGTTGATTTTGTATCCTGAGACTTTGTTGAAGTTGCTCATGAGTTTAAGAAGATTTTGGGCTGAGATGATGGAATTTTCTAATTATACAGTCATGTCATCTGCAAACAGGGACAATTTGTCTTCCTCTTTTTCTAATTGAGTACGCTTTATTTCTTTCTCTTCCCTGATTGCCCTGGCCAGAGCTTCCAACACTATTTTGAATAAGAGTGGTAATAAAGGGCATCACTGTCTTGTGCCAGTTTTCAAAGGGAATGCTTCCAGCTGTTGTCCATTCAGTATGATATCAGTTGTGGGTTTGTCATACATAGCTCTTATTATTTTGAGATATGTTCCATCAATACCTAGTTTATTGAGAGTTTTTAGCATGAAGTACTGTTGGATTTGTCGAAGGCGTTTTCTGCATTGATTTGAGATAATCATGTGGTTTCTGTCGTTGGTTCTGTTTATGTGATGGATTACGTGTATTGATTTGTATATGTTGAAGCAGCCTTGCATCCCTGGGATGACGCTGACTTGATCGTGGCGGATAAGCTTTGTGATGTGCTGCTGGATTCGGTTTGCCAGTATTTTATTGAGGATTTTGGCATCAATGTTCATCAGGAATATTGGTCTAAAATACTGTTTTTATTTTGTTGTGTCTCTGCCAGGCTTTAGTATCAGGATGATGCTGGCCTCATAAATGGGTTAGGGAGGATTCCCTCTTTCTCTATTGATTGGAATACTTTCAGAAAGATTGTTACCATCTCCTCTTTGTACCTCTGGTAGAATTTGGCTGTGAATCCATTTGGTCCTGGACTTTTTTTGGTTGGTAGGCTGCTGATTATTGCCTCACTTTCATAGCCTGTTATTGGTCTATTCAGAGATTCAACTTCTTCCTGCTTTAGTCTTGGGAGGGTGTATGTGTCCAGGAATTTATCCATTTCTTCTAGATTTCTAGTTTATTTGCATAGAGGTGTTTATAGTATTCTATGATGTTAGTTTGTATTTCTGTGTGATCTGTGGTTATATCCCCTTTTCATTTTTTGTTGCATCTATTTGATTCTTCTCTCTTTTCTTCTTTGTTAGTCTTGCTAGCATTCTATCAATTTTGTTGATCTTTTCAAAAAACCAGCTCCTGGATTCATTTATTTTTTTGAAAGGATTTTTTTGTGTGTCTCTATCTCCTTCAGCTTTGCTCTGATCTTATTTATTGCCTTGTGCTAGCTTTTGAATTTGTTTGTTCTTGCTTCTCTAGTTCTTTTGATTGTGATGTTAATGTCGATTTTAGATCTTTCCTTCTTTCTCTTGTGGGCATTTAGTGCTGTAAATTTCCCTCTACACACTGCTTTAAACGTGTCCCAGAGATTCTGGTATGTTGTGTCTTTATTCTCATTGGTTTCAAAGATCATCTTTATTTCTGCCTTCGTTTCGTTATGTACCCAGTAGTCATTCAGGAGCAGTTTGTTCTGTTTCCATGTAGTTGTGCGGTTTGGAGTGAGTTTCTTTTTCCCGAGTTCTAATTTGTTTGTATTTTGGTCTTAGAGATAGTTTGTTGTGATTTCTGTTCTTTTACATTTGCTGAGGAGTGCTTTACTTCCAACTATGTGGTCAGTTTTGGAATAAGTGTGATGTGGTGCTGAGAAGAATGCATACCCTGTTGATTTGGGATAGAGAGTTCTGTAGATTTCTATTAGGTCTGCTTCATGCAGAGCTGAGTTCACGTCCTGGATATCCTTGTTAACTTTCTGTCTCATTGATTTGTCTAACATTGACAGTGGGGTGTTAAAGACTCCCATTATTATTGTGTGGGAGACCAAGTCTTTTTGCAGGTCTCTAAGGACTTGCTTTATGAATCCGGGTGCTCCTGTATTGGGTCCATAATATATGGTAGTTAGCTCTTCTTGTTGAATTGATCCCTTTACCATTATGCAATGGCCTTCTTTGTCCATTTTGATCTTTGTTGGTTTAAAGTCTGTTTCATCAGAGACTTGGATTGCAACCCCTGCTCTTTTTGCTTTGTGTTTGCTTGGTAGATCTTCCTCCATCCCTTTATTTTGAGCCTACATGTGTCTCTGCACGTGAGACGGGTCTCCTGAAGACAGCACACTGATGGGTCTTGACTCTTTATTCAATTTGCCAGTCTGTGTCTTTTAATTGGGGCATTTAGCTCATTCACAGTTAAGGATAATATTGTTACGTGTGAATTTGATCCTGTCTTTATGATGCTAGCTGGTTATTTGCCCATTAGTTGATGCAGTTTCTTCCTAGCATCGATGGTCTTCACAATTTGGCACGTTCTTTTGCAGTGGCTGGTACCGATTGTTCTTTTCCATGTTTAGTGCTTCCTTCAGGAACTCTTGTAAGGCAGGCGTGGTGGTGACAGAATCTCTCCACATTTGCTCGTCTGTAAAGGATTTTATTTCTTCTTCACTTATGAAGCTTAGTTTGGCTGGTTATGAAATTGTGGGTTGAAAATTCTTTTCCTTAAGAATGTTGAATATTAGCCCCCACTCTCTTCTGGCTTGTAGAGTTTCTGTCAAGAGATCCACTGTTAGTCTGATGGGCTTCCCTTTGTGGGTAACCCGACCTCTCTCTCTGGCTGCCCTTATCACTTTTTCCTTCATTTTAACCTTGGTGAATCTGAGAATTATGTGTCTTGGGGTTGGTCTTCTCAAGGAGTACCTTTGTGGTGGTCTCTCTGTTTCTTGAATTTGAACGTTGGCCTGCCTTGCTAGGTTGGGGAAGTTCTCCTGGATAATATCCTGAGGAGTGTTTTCCAACTTGGTTCCATTCTCCCCGTCAGTTTCAGGTACACCAATCAAACGTAGATTTGGTCTTTTCACATAGTCCCATATTTCTTGGAAGCTTTATTCGTTTCCTGTTACTCTTTTTTCTCTAAACTTCTCTTCTTGCCTTATTTCATGAAGTTGATCTTCAATCACTATTACCCTTTCTTCCAGTTGAGGAAATCGGCTATTGAAGCTTGTGCATGCGTCACATAGTTCTCATGCCATGAGTTTTCAGCTCCGTCAGGTCATTTAACGTCTTCTCTACACTGTTTATCCCAGTTAGCCATTCATCTAATCTTTTTTCAAGGTATTTATCTTCCTCGTGATGGGTTCGAATATCCTCCTTTAGCTCGGAGAGGTTTGTTATTACTGACCTTCTGAAAGCTATTTCTGTCAGCTCGTCAAAGTCATTCTCCATCCAGCTTTGTTCTGTTGCTGGAGATGAGCTGTGATCCCTTGGAGGACAAGAGGTAGTCTGGTTTTTAGAATTTTCAGCTTTTCTGCTCTGGTTTCTCCCCATCTTTGTGGTTTTATCTACCTTTGGTCTTTGATGTTGGTGACCTACAGATGGGGTTTTGGTATGGATGTCCTTTTTGTTGATGTTGATGCTATTCCTTTCTGTGTGTTAGTTTTCCTTCTAACAGTCAGGTCCCTGAGCTGCAGGTCTGTTGGAGTTTACTGAAAGTCCACTCCAGATGCTGTCTGTCTGGGTATCACCAGCGTAGGGTGCAGAACAGCAAATATTGCAGAACAGCAAATGTTGCTGCCTGATCCTTCCTCTGGAAGCTTTGTCCCAGAGGGGCACCTGCCTGTATGAGGTGTCAGTCGTCCCCTACTTGGAGGTGTCTCCCAGATTGCCTACCTGGGGGTCAGGGACCTACTGAGGAGGCAGTCTGTCCATTCTGTGAGCTCAAACACCGTGCTGGGAGAACCACTGCTGTCTTCAGAGGTGTCACACAGGGAGGTTTAAGTTTGCAGAAGTTTCTGCTGCCTTTTGTTCAGCTATGCTCTGTCCCCAGAGATGGAGTCTAGAGTCAGTAGGCCTTGCTGAGCTGTGGTGAGCTTTGCCCGGTTTGAACTTCCCAGGCTTCTTTATTTACCTACCCAAGCCTCAGCAATGGTGGGCACCCCTTTCCCTGCCAGGCTGCTGCGCTAGCAGTGAGCAAGGCTCCATGGGCATGGGACCTGCTGAACCAGTCGTGGAGTATAATCTGCTGGTGCAGTTTGCTAAGACCATTGCAAAAGTGCAGTATTTGGATGGGAGTGTCCCATTTTTTCCAGGTACTGTCTGTCACGGCTTCCCTTGGCTAGGAAAGGGAAATACTCCGACCCCTCACACTTGCTGGGTGAGGCATTTCCCCATCCTGCTTTGGCTTGCCCTCCGTGGGCTGCACCCCTTTCCAACCAGTCCCAGTTAGATGAAGCAGGTACCTCAGTTGGAAATGCAGAAATCCCCCGTCCTCTGCGTCTGTCACGCTGGGAGTTGCAGACCAGAGCTGTTCCTATTCGGGCTTCTTGGAACGGACTCTGTTTTTTCTGTATCAATTATCTGGTCCATTCCAATTTTCCACTTCGGAATAGCTTATGAAAAGCATACAGTTTGATTCTCTAAATCTGTAATTGTGTATAGAAACAGATGATTTGTAAGCAATAGAGTTTAGGAAAACTTTCTCATAATCTTTGTTTCTTAATCAACCTAAGTCTCTCTGTCAGTCTTCCAAGTGGCATGTGGATTGTGAAACTCATTTTGCCATATATCATGTGACCTTGAGAACCAGGAGAGGCATCAAGAAAATCTATAAAGGAAATGCAATGAGCTTGAGTGCTTTTTCCATTTACTGACTTAAAAATAAGATGTAGCTAACAATAAGATGGGAATACAGTAGAAAGGAAGCAATGACTGAGAAGAGAGATCAAAAGGCATCTGGTGGGCATGGTCGCAAACACCTGTAGTCTCAGCTTCTCTGGAGCCTGAGGCAGGAGCATCTGTTGAGCCCGGGAGTTCTGGGCCATAGTGTGGTAGGCCGATCAGGTGTTCACACTAAATTCAGCATCCGTATTGTGACCTCCTGGGAGCAAGGCACCACCAGATTGACTAAGGAAGGGTGAACTTGGCCCAGGTCGGAAATGGAGCAGGTCATAAGTAACTCCTGAGCTGATCAGCAGAAGGATCGCGAATGTGAACAGCTACTGCATTCCAGCCCGGGCAACATAGCGAGACCTCATCTCTTACCAAAAAAAAAAAAAAAAAGTGTCCAGCCCTGGGAGCTGCAGCAAATATTCCTGGCCAATGAATCTGTTTATTGTGCTTTCGTGTTTTCAGGTTTATCTGTTTAACTCAAACTGTTGGAACTTACAATTCCATTGTGACCACTTTAAATATTTTTCAACAAGTATATACACTTTAACATATATATTTTACTGTATGTGGAATCATGATCTTTTATTTCTTTTTAAAGAAATCCCAGAGACATAGCGAGTCAGAGCCTTCCTTACAATCAGAGGATGCAGAGGATGCAGATGAGCTTTTAAGGGTCCTGAGCACAGATCTTGAATTTCTTGATTTGGATCAAATCAGTCCTGAGGAACAACAGATTAGTTCCCCTGCAAGGCAGCCCTCGGGAGAACTTCAGGAGATAACCCACCAGATGCCCCAAGATGAACTGGGACGAGAAAGAAGGGACTTGGAGCCAGAAAGCAGAGAGGAGGGACAAGAAAGGAGAGTATGTGACATCCAGTCCAAAGCAGGGATCTCCCGGCCATCACTGATGTCCAGCACCACAGACGACACCCTGTTTCAAAAGGATGAAAGTGCCTGGATGTATCCCTTGGTAAGTGTAATGCTTTTAAATCTCCCCCAGCGCTTTGAGAGTATTGTGCAATAGGGGAATTTTATGCATGTAGAGGGTGGGGAAAATACCACCAGAAGGAGACTTTTCAAACTAATAATAGACTTTTGTCTTTTTTTTTTTTTTTTTTTTTTTTTTTTTTTTTGACAGAGTCTCTCTGTCACCCAGGCTGGAATGCAGTGGCACAATCTTGGCTCACTGCAGCCTCCACCTCCCAGGTTGAAGTGATACTTGTTCCTCAGTCTCCTGAGTAGCTGGAATTAGGGGCATGAGCCACCACACCTGGCTAATTTTTGTATTTTTAGTAGAGAGGGATCTCGCCATGTTGACCAGATTGGTCTTGAACTCCTGACCTCAGGTGATCCACCTGCCTCGGCCTCTCAAAGTGCTGGGATTATTACAGGCATGAGCCACTGCTCCTGGCCTAGACTTGTGTCTTTTAAAGTTCATTTAAGAGCTCCGACTGGAACATGTGTGACTGAACATTAACTTAAGAGCCGTATCTGGGTTCAATGGTATTGCTTACAGGTAGGAAATTCCAGACATAGTTTGTCTGTTGCATAGGGTGCTATGTCACGTGTGAGATTCAAAGTCCATTCTGCGCCCCTCCCCAGCTTCCTCCTCCCCCTTTCCTTCTCACTTCCTCTCCTCTTCCCTTCCCCTCCCCTTTCCCTTTTCTTTCCTCTCCTCCTGTCCCCCTCCTTTTCCTCTCTCACACTGTAAAATTCCTCCTTCGTGCCAGCAATTCCGCCCCTTCCCCGTCTTGTCTCACTTCTTCTGCCTTGATGTATTTTTTTTTTTAAATTATACTTTAAATTGCAGGGTATATGTGCACAATGTGCAGGTTTGTGACATGGGTATACATGTCCCATGTTGGGTTGCTGTACCCACTAAGTTGTCATTTACATTAGGTATTTCTCTTAATGCTATCCCTCCCCCTTTCCCCCACCCCATGACAGGTCCTGGTGTGTGACGTTCCCCACCCTGTGTCCAAGTGTTCTCATTGTTCAATTCCCAACTATGAGTGAGAACATGCGGTGTTTGGTTTTCTGTCCTTGTGACAGTTTGCTCAGAATAATGGTTTCCAGCTTCATCCATGTCCCTACAAAGGACATGAACTCATCCTTTTTTATGGCTGCATAGTATTCCACAGTGTTTATGTGCCACATTTTCTTTATCCAGTCTATCATTGATGGACATTTGGGTTGGTTCCAAGTCTTTGCCATTGTGAATAGTGCCACAATGAACATACGTGTGCGTGTGTCCTTATAGTAGCATGATTTATAATCCTTTGGGTGTATACCCAGTAATGGGATAGTTGAGTCAAATGGTATTTCTAGTTCTAGATCCCTGAGGGAAAGTCACACTGTCTTCCACAATGGTTGAACTAGTTTACACTCCCACCAACAATGTAAAAGTGTTCGTATTTCTCTACATCCTCTTAGGGACCTGTTGGTTCCTGACTTTTTAATGATCGCTGTTCTAACTGGTGTGAGATGGTATCTCATTGTGGTTGTGATTTGCGTTTCTCTGATGACCAGTGATGATGAGCATGTTTTCATGTGTCTGTTGGCTGCATAAATGTCTTCTTTTGAGCAGTGTCTGTCATATCCTTTGCCCACTCTTTGATGGGGTTGTTGTGTTTTTCTTGTAAAGTTGTTTAAGTTCTTTGTAGACTCTGGATATAAGCCCTTTGTCAGATGAGTAGATTGCACACATTTTCTTCCGTTCTGTAGGTTGCGTGTTCACTCTGATGGTAGTTTCTTTTGCTGTGCAGAAGCTGTTTAGTTTGATTAGATCCCCTTTGTCTATTTTGTCTTTTGTTACCATTGCTTTTTGTGTTTTAGTCATGAAGTCCTTGCCCATGCCTGTGTCCTGAATGGTATTGCCTAGGTTTTCTTCTAAGGTTTTCATGGTTTTAGGTCTAACAATTAAGTCTTTGAATTAATTTGTGTCTAAGGTGTAAGGAAGGGATCCAGTTTCAGCGTTCTACATATGGCTAGCCAGTTTTCCCAGCACCATTATGAAACAGGGAATCTTTTCCGCATTTCTTGTTTTTGTCAGGTTTGTCAAAGATCAGATGGTTGTAGATGTGTGGTGTTATTTCTGAGGCCTCTGTTCTGTTCCTTTGGTCTATATCTCTGTTTTCGTAGCAGTACCATGGTGTTTTGGTTACTGTAGGCTTGCAGTGTAGTTTGAAGTCAGGTAGTGTGATGCCTCCAGCTTTGTGCTTTTTGCTTAGTATTGTCCTGGCAATGTGGGCTCATTTGTGGTTCTATATGAACTTTAGAGTAGTTTTTTCCAGGTCTGTGAAGAAAGTCATTGGTAGCTTGATGGGGATGGCATTGAATCTATAAAATACCTTGAGTAGTATAGCCATTTTCACAATACTGACTGTTCCTGTCCATGAGCATGGAATGTTCTTCCATTTGTTTGTGTCATCCTTTATTTCATGGGGCAGTGGTTTGTAGTTCTCCTTGAAGAGGTCCTTCACATTCTTTGTAAGTGGGATACCTTGGTGTTTTATTCTCTTTGTAGCAATTGTGAATGGGAGTTCACTCATGATTTGGCTCTGTTTGTCTGTTATTGGTGTATAGGAACGCTTGTGATTTTTGCACATTGATTTTGTATCCTGAGACTTCATTGAATTTGCTTATCAGTTTAAGGAGATTGTGGACTGAGGCAATGGGGTTTTGTAAGTATACAATCATTTCATCTGCAAACAGGGAGAATTTGACTTCCTCTTTTCCTAATTGAATACCGTTTATTTCTTTCTCTTGCCTTGAATGCCCTGGCCAGAGCTTCCAACACTATTTTGAGTAAGAGTGGTAATAGAGGACATTCCTGTCTTGTGCCAGTTTTCAAAGTGAATGCTTCCAGTTTTTGCCCATTCCATATGATATTGGCTGTGGGCTTGTCATAATTAGCTCTTATTATTTTGAGGTACGTCCCATGAGTACCTAGTTTATTGAGAGTTTTTAGCATGAAGGGCTATTGAATTTTGTCGAAGGCCTTTTCTGCATCTATTTGAGATAATTGTGGTTTCTGTCATTGGTTCTATTTATGTGATGGATTATGTTTATTGATTTGCATTTGTTGAAGCAGCCTTGTATCCCAGGGATGAAGCCGACTTGATCATGGTAGATAAGCTTTTTAATGTGCTGCTGGATTCGGTTTGCCAGTATCTTATTGAGGGTTTTTGCATTGATATTCATCAGGAATATTGATCTAAAAATCTTTTTATTTTGTTGTGTCACTGCCAGGCTTTGGTATCAGGATGATGCTGGCCTCATAAAATGAGTTAGGGAGGATTCTCTCTTTTTCTATTGATTGGAATACTTTCAGAAGGATTGGTACCATCTCCTCTTTGTACCTCTGGTATAATTTGGCTGTGAACCATCTGGTGTTGGACTTATTTTGGTTGGTAGGCTATTGATTATAGCCTCAATTTCACAGCCTTTTATTGGTCTATTCAGAGATTCAACTTCCTCCTGGTTTAGTCTTGGGAGGGTGTATGTGTCCAGGAATTTATCCATTTCTTCTAGATTTTCTAGTTTATTTGCATAGAGGTGTTTATAGTATTCTCTGATGGTAGTTTGTATATCTGTGTGATTGGTGGTGATATCCCCTTTATCGTTTTTTATTGAGTCTATTTGATTCTTCTCTCTTTTCTTCATTAGTCTTGCTAGCATTCTATCAATTTTGTTGATCTTTTCGAAAAACCAGCTCCTGGATTCGTTGATTTTTTGAAGGGCTTTTTTTTGTGTGTCTGTCTCCTTCAGTTCTGCTCTGATCTTAGTTATTTCTTGCCTTCTGCTAGTTTTTGAATGTGTTTGCTCTTACTTCCCTAGTTCTTTTAATTGTGATGTTAGGGTATCAATTTTAGATCTTTCCAGCTTTCTCTTGTGGACTTTTAGTGCTATAAATTTCTCTCTACACACTGCTTTAAATGTGTCCCAGAGATTCTGCTACATTGTGTCTTTGTTCTCGTTGGTTTAAAAAAAAATCTTTATTTCTGCCTTCATATCCTTATTTACCCAGTAGTCATTTAAGAGCAGATTTTTCAGATTCTATGTAGTTGTGCGGTTTGGAGTGAGTTTCTTAATCTCGAGTTCTAATTTGATTGCACCATGGTCTGAGAGACAGTTTGTTGTGATTTCTGTTCTTTTACATTTGCTGAGGAGTGCTTTACTTGCAACTCTGTGGTCAGTTTTGGAATAAGTGTGATGTGGTGCTGAGAAGAATGTATATTCTGTTGATTTTGGGTGGAGAGTTCTGTAGATGTCTATTAGGTATGCTTGATGCAGAGCTGAGTTCAAGTCTTGGATATCCTTGTTAACCTTCTGTCTCATTGATCTGTCTAATATTGACAGTGGGGTGTTAAAGTCTCACATTATTATTGTGTGGGAGTCTAAGTCTGTTCGTAGGTCTCTAAGAACTTGCTTTATGAATCTGGGTGCTCCTATATTGGGTGCATATATATGTAGGGTAGTTAGCGTTTCTTGTTGAATTGATCCCTTTACCATTATATAATGGCCTTTTTTTGTCCATTTTGATCTTTTTTAGTTTAAAGTCTGGTTTATCAGAGACTAGGATTGCAACCCCTGCTCTTTTTGCCTTTGCGTTTGCTTGGCAGATCTTCCTCCATCCATTTATTTTGAGCCTATGTGTGTCTCTGCATGTGAGATGAGTCTCCTGAATACAGCACACTGATGGGTCTTGACTCTTTATCCAATTTGCTAGTCTGTGTCTTTTAATTGGGGCATTTAACCCAGTTACATTTAAGGATAATATTGTTACATGTGAATTTGATCCTGTCATTACGATGTTAGCTGGTTATTTTGCCTGTTAGTTGATGCAGTTTCTTCCTAGCATCGATGGTCTTTACAATTTGGCATGTTTTTGTAGTAGCTGGTACAGGTTGTTCCTTTGCATGTTTAGTGCTTCCTTCAGGATCTCTTGTAAGGCAAGGCAGGCAAAATGGTGACAAAATCTCTCCACATTTGCTTGTCTGTAAAGGATTTTATTTATCCTTCACTTATGAAGCTTAGTTTGGCTGGATATGAAATTCTGGGTCGAAAATTCTTTAAGAATGTTAAATATTAGCCCCCACTCTCTTCTGGACCCACAGTTAGTCTGATGGACTTCCCTTTGTGGGTAACCCGATCTCTCTCTCTCTGACTGCCCTTAACACTTTTTCCTTCATTTCAACCTTGGTGAATCTGAGAATTATGTGTCTTGGGGATGCTCTTCTCGAGGAGTACCTTTGTGGTGGTCTCTGTGTTTCCTGAATTTAAATGTTGGCCTGCCTTGCTAGGTTGGGGAAGTTCTCCTGGATAATATCCTGAGGAGTGTTTTCCAACTTGGTTCCATTCTCCCCATCAGTTTCAGGTACACCAATCAAACGTAGATTTGGTCTTTTCACATAGTCCCATATTTCTTGGGAGCTTTGTTCATTTCTTGTTACTCTTTTTTCTCTAAACTTCTCTTCTCACTTTATTTCATTAAACTGATCTTCAATCACTGATACCTTTTCTTCCACTTGATGGAATCACTTGTGCATGCCTCACGTAGTTCTCATGCCATGGTTTTCAGCTCCATCAGGTCATTTAAGGTCTTCTCTATACTGTTTATTCTAGTTAGCCATTTATCTAATCTTTTTTCAAGGTTTTTAACTTCCTCTTGAAGGGTTTGAACATCATCCTTTAGCTCGGAGAATTTTGTTATTACCGACCTTCTGAAGGCTACTTTTGTCAGCTGGTCAGTCGTTCTTTGTCCAGCTTTGTTCCTTTGCTGGTGAGGAGCTGCAATCCTTCAGAGAAGAAGTAGTCTGGTTTTTAGAATTTTCAGCTTTTCTGCTCTGCTTTCTCCCCATCTTTGTGGTTTTATCTACCTTTGGTCTATGATGTTGGTGACCTACAGATGGGGTTTTGGTGTGGATGTCCTTTTGGCTGATGTTGATGCTATTCCTATCTGTTTGTTAGTTTTCCTTCTAACAGTCAGTTCCGTGAGCTGCAGGTCTGATGGAGTTTACTGGAGGTCCACTTCAGATGCTGTTTGCCTGGGTATCACCAACGGAGGCTGCAGAACAGCAAATATTGCAGAACAGCAAATATTGCTGCCTGATACTTCCTCTGGAAACTTCGTCCCAGAGGGGCACCTGCCTGTATGAGGTGTCAGTCAGCCCCTACTGGGAGGTGTCTTCCAGATAGGCTATCCAGGGGTCAGGGACCTATGGAGGTGGCATTCTGTCCATTTTCTGAGCTCAAACACCATGCTCGGAGAACCACTGCTGTGTTCAGAGCTGTCAGACAGGGAGGTTTAAGTCTGCAGAATTTTCTGCTGCCTTTTGTTCAACTATGCCCTGCCCCCAGAGATAGAGTGTAGAGGCAGTAGGCCTTGGTGAGCTGTGATGGGCTTCACGCAGTTTGAGCTTCTCCGGCTATTTTGTTTACCTACCCAAGCCTCAGCAATGGCAGATACCCCTTTCCCTGCCAGGCTGTAGCCTGGCAGGTCGATCTCAGACTCCTGTGCTAGCAGTGAGCAAGCCTCCATGGGTGTGGGACCCACCGTGCCAGGTGCGGGATATAATCTCCTGGTGTGCTGTTTGCTAAGACCATTGAAAAAGCACAGTATTTGGGCAGGAGTGTCCTGTTTTTCCATGTACTGTCTGTCATGGCTTCCCTTGGCTAGGAAAGGGAAATCCCCCGACCCCTTGCGCTTTCCGGGTGAGGCAATGGCCCGCCCTACTTCGGCTTGCCTTCTGTAGGCTGCACCAACTGTCCAGCCAGTCCCAGTGAGGTGAACCAGTTACCTCAGTTGGAAATGCAGAAATCACCCATCTTCTGCGTTGATCACTCTTGGTGCTGCAAACCATAGCTCTTCCTGTCTGGCTGTCTTAGAAGAGAAGCCCAACATATTTGTTAATATAACCACTCTGTACTGTTTCTTTTGAATCACACCTCTATGTTTTGTTGCTTATTAAAGTACATTAAGTTTTGCCATATATATTTTTCCATATAAATTGCATAAATGCTCACCGAAAACTTAATATATGATGCTAACGTGAACAGCTGAGTCTTCTACATTCATTTGGGCAGTCCTCCCACCCTTTGCCAAGGCATTGAATTATTTTGCCTAAGTCACACTTTTAACCTATCTGATTAATTTGTAGAATTTGTCTGATTCAGCATTATGGAATTGTATCGTTTCTTTTGGTGCCACAAAATGCTAGGTAATGGCACTTTAGGTGCTTGGATCTATCATTTACTCTTTTTTGGGTTTAGCCCAGTCATCAATAGACAGTGGGCTAAAGTAGATTCTTATACTGTATATCCTCCAGCTATAGATTTTTATGGCTATTGAATGTGAAATTTGGGAAGCATCTCATTTTCAGAATTCCACACCAACTCAGCAGTTTCACTCTGCTTTTTGTGTTGCAGTGGACTTGTATTTCAGTAAGCTCCTTTACCTTTTTGATATCCCAGGATTCAAATGAAAAAAAAAAAGACAAAAGTTAGTGGAAGAAAAGAATAGCTTAGTGCAGAAAAGGGGAAGCTTCCTTTCTGTTCCTAAAGCCCCACAGTGTTGTATCCTCTCAATCTGGCTGTTTAATGTGAAAGCCAAGTGGCAAAGACAGAAGAAGACATGCTTTGTGTCTTTGTCTTCTTATTTCTGTATTTGTGCCAGTCAAATGAGGTAAAAATTCATAATACATAGTGCAGGGTGGTTGGGAATAAAAGCACAAAATTAAGAAGGGCCCTTGTTTAAATTTTGGAAAATTCTGTCTCATTCATTGAAACAGAAATGAAGCCAACTTTACAAAAATGTTGATGATAAAATTATAACAATTACAATTATATGATGATAGTTCCAGATATGATCAAATTAAACACCAAATATTTTAATGACTAAAATTATGATAATTAAACTGAGTCAAGTGATGAAATCAATGAAAACAGAAAAAAGTTATTTGCATTGAATAAAGCAGTAACACTTGTCCTTAACATCAAACTCTCACTCAAGGTTGAAGAAGAAGTGGAAAAGCAGAGAAGTAATAGCACAGAATTATCAGGAAACCCAGCTCATGGTGCTGCTGCTGGCAATAATGATGATGGACTAAATCAGCAGTTTCCTAGGAAGAAGAAGAAAGGGCATGACAGGTAAGCCTATAGCAACATTTAACAGGAGACATTTGGCCAGGCGTGATGGCTCACACCTGTCATCCCAGCACTTTGGGAGGCCAAGGCAGGTGAATCATCTGAGGTCAGGAGTTCAAGACCAGCCTGACCAACATGATGAAACCCCACCTCTAACAAAAATACAAAATTAGCCAAGTGTAGTGGTGCATGCCTGTAATCCCAGCTACTTAGGAGCCTGAGGCAGGGGAATTGCTTTAACTCAGGAGGTGGAGGTTGCAGTGAGCTGTGATCACGCCATTGCACTCCAGCCTGGGCAAAAGAGTGAAACTCCATCTCAAAACAACAACAACAACAACAACAACAACAAAAACAGGAGACAATTATGTGCTATGAAATGAATCCAAATTTGGGCTAATATTCATGATGAACAAATTTTATACTTTTACTAGGATATTAAGCCTTCCTTGGTTATCAGAAAAATGTAAATGAACAATGAAATACCATATTTTCCAATCATATTGATATTTTACTTAAAAAATAGGAAATATTGTCAAATGTGAAGATGGCATTTTCATACACTGCTGTTAAATGAAATTGATGAATCCTTTTTCCAGGGTAATTTAGTAGCATGTATCAAAATTTCAAATATGTCACTTCTTTAACCTAACAACTTCACTTTTGGGACGAGATCCTACAGGAAAATATGACTTGTGTAAACACATACACATATTTGTTAAGGACATTTATTACATGTAGTATATAATATACAATATAATATATAATATACAATAGGTTAATATGTTAAATATATATAATATTAAGTATATATGATATGTTAAGGATATTTATATATGTTACATATATACTTATGTATAAGGATATTTATTATAGCATTGTAATATCAAAAAGTTGGAGATAGCCTAAATCCTTAGCAATAAAGAAATAGTATAGTTGTCATTCCCAGAAAATAATGTAGTATGCAATCATTTTGATAAATGAAGTTGTTAGACCTGGACTGTACTGATTATTTCAAAATTAAAGTATATTTAAAGACTTTAGTTTGATGACACATCTTAAGCCAGTTTTGTTGGAATTCTTGTAATATCTGCTGAGTTATAAGAAGCAGCTAGCTACATGCTACATTGACACTGTACCTTGTGTGCAACAGAATTGCTAGTTATTACATTTTTTGTTTTTTGTTCTCAATGTGTGAGTGCTGAAATACCAGATCCTCAAATTAACTTGAATATTGCCAAGAGATTGCACATGGGGATTCATATTCCGTATAAGCATTTCAATATATTGGGTAAAACTTACTAAAATATATCAGAGGATCTCAGATCTACTGAACCAAGAGTTGGACGGCTCTTTTTGTAAAGAGCCAGTTAGTAAATATTTTAAGCTTTGTGAATTGTAAAGTGAATAAGTGTGGCTGTGTTTCAAGGAAATTTCCTTATGAAAACAGGCAGTGGGCTGGATTTGGCTTACAAGCACCAATTTGCTGATCCTTGGGCTAAAACCAAGGTGCTGTTATGCAGTGAATCCTCTTTTTAAAGGTACCCTACATGCTTGCCATTATCCTTCCTGTTAAAAGATAATGTATTTCAGTAGGAAACACACCATATTTTTCAACAGTGGCTTCATATAATTTCAACAAATTTGGTTTACAAAATAAGATTATTTTCTGCACTCGTCCCCTTTTATTCTTATTATAGAATTCCATATTTTGACTATTATTTTGTATATTTGATGAGTATAAAATATTCTAGAATTAGATGCTTTTTATTAAGCAAGAAATACTTCTTCTGAAACTTTTAGTCTTCCTTGGTCTTTATGTGTAAGCAGGAGCAAAATGATAATCAGCTTATATAATCTAGTAATGTTCAAGAGGCTTTTTGGTTTTATGAGTTAATGAATTTGTTATTTAATACCTTCATCTGGCATTTCAAAAATGTCATATAGATATAATTTTAAAAACTTTTAAAGGGTAAAAATATAGTATATAGTTATATAAGAATTGAAAAATACAGCTAAACAAGAAGAAAATTAGATCATCTACAGTCATGCCCCTAGGTATGTTGGCCTTGAAAGAATGGTTTATACTCGTGGATTCAGATTTCCTGTCCATTCACTCTTGAGCAGACACCAGTAATTTTCACTCCCACCACTCTTCCAAGATTGTTGTTCTCAAATTTACCACTGATTTGTAAATCTGGACATTGTTTCCTTAGATCTCATTTTATTTAACCTGTCAACAATATTGGATCCAATGGAAAACTCTCTTCTCCATAACAGTATCTTCACTTGGCTTTCAGGATCTCACTCGCTCTCCTGGCTTTTCTTCCTGCCTTTCTATTTCATCTGTCGTAGTCTGTTTTGCTTTATTCTCATATCCCACCTTTTACACATTGATATGTCCCAGGACTCATGACTTTCCTCTCACGACTTTTACTACCTTGTGTGTGCTAATGATTTTCAAATGCGCGTCTGCAGCCTAGATCTCTCTCCTTAATTCCAGACTTCTATACCAACCTACGTACTTGACATCTCTGTTTGGTTGGTCATGAACTGTTGGGTATCACAAACTTACCAGGCCCAAGATTGGAGTACCGATTTTTTCTTTCTCATACCTACCCCTCTCATAGTCTCCTATTTGCATTAATGGTAACTCTTGCAATTGCTCTGCTAGAAACCAAGGTGTCATCCTTGACTCACCTCTCTCTCTGACACCTCACATCTAGTCTATCAGCAGATCTTGTCAGGAGTACCTTAAGAATATATCCAGAAGCCAGTCATAGCTTTCATGTCCAAGCCACCACCATCTGCTATCTAGATGAGTGTAATAGACTGTTAATTGGTCTTTCTGTTTTTTAAAAGAATCCTCTTTTCATCAATCCTTAACTCAGTGGCCGTATTTAAAACCTAAGTCAGATGATGTTGTTCCTCTGCTCAGACCCATCTGATTGCCTCTTATTTCACTCCGAGTATGTGTCAGGGTTCCTCCTCATACCTAGAAGGCAACACACAATATGCCCCATTACCTCTCGCACTTAAACTTCTGTTTCTTATTCCCTTTTCTCTGCTTCAGCCACGCTGAACTTCTTGCTCTTCCTTATCTATATCACTATTGCGTAAAAACTCCAGGCACACGTCTGTACTGGGCAGTTCCCTGTGTGTGTCTGGGATGCCTTTTCCTCAGCTAGCCTCCTGGCTTTCTCTTTCCATTCCTTCAGTTCTTTACTTCAAAGCCACTTTCTCAGTAAGGACTTTTCTGGCCATCCTAAAATTCCCACCACCCCTCCTCTCAAACCTGTAAACATTTCATTTTTCTGCTTTAGTTTTTCTCCCCTAACATTGTATATTTTGCCTAATCTATGTACTGTTATTGTGTTTATTTCACTCCCATCAGTAGGAGTAGGGCCTAACTTGCAATAAGTTTCTACTCAATAAATATTTATTATATGAGCAAGTGGAGTTTACCCTTCAGCATATTGTTTTAAACATTAGACTGTTTCTCACGTAAAAAAAAGAAAAAAAAAGATTTGACATTGGCTCATTCTAACACTTTTGCCTAGCAATTATATGCATTTTTGGATTTTTTGGCTCTTCATAATAAGCTACATTCTTTATGTTAATAGTTTTCCATTTAGAGAGAAAAGCTCAATATTGTGGTTACTCACTATACTTTTACTAATAATCATGATAGTTTTACTTACGATAAAATGGATCAAAGGAGTTACAAATTTCACTGGTAATTTATAAAGAAAATTAAATATAAGGGTGGTAAATTTGATGGACTTAAAGATTGTTTCCAAGTGATTATGAACCTTCGGTATTTGAAGTTAAAAGACCAAGTTGGAATGTATAGCTTTCTAGAAGAGAGCTATGCTCATCAGGCACTCTGTATTCTGACCGAGCAGCTGTTGATCTTACATAGGGTTGTGGGAGGAGCAGACTTGAAGGATTGGCGGACTCTCAACAGCATAAGAGGGTTGACATCATCTGGAGAAACATGGCTGTCCGAGCAAGGCTGCTGTGGGTTGGTTAACACTCCCAGGCTTGTGGATTGGAGTGAGTTTGTGTTTGATTGGCTGTCTTTCAGAAGCAAGTGGCCCACATTGATACTGGTTGGTGAGAGAGGCCAATGGTCACTGATTGATTGACTGTATTTACAACTGGCTGTGGGTGGTTGCTTGTTACTACCATGGCTACAGGTCAGTTCTTTCCTAAGTTTGAGGCAACTTTAAACTGCAGTTTTCTGTTTAAAAATTGCCTTCCATCAACTATGTTTAAAATGAAAATGATTTCATATTCCAGAACTGTAGACTTAATTTAGAAGTGTGGGTCAAGAGGAATTGTTTAATAATTGCTCTCAGGAAGATCCGTTTTTTTTTTTTTGGTTTTTTTTTTTGATGCTTAATCTTAACCAGAAGAATTCTGTACATAGTTAAAAACAAACAAAAAGCAATTATTAGTTTTGTTTCAGTTTTTATTTTCAGAGACTTCTGCTAAACTCCTAACATAATCTCCAGTGGGAAATGTTTGTCTCTTTGTTAATGTATGTAGTTATACGATAGCAATACTCTTTTTTTATTCCTTAATCTTTTTTTTGGTTCACATTCTGTTCCATGCAATGATAGTGATATAATGTGTGTTTACTTCATTAAAAAAATTACAATGTTCTGCTGACAAATCCAGCTTTTTATATTAAGACTAAATACTAGACTAAACATGTAGGAAATTTATCAAATTATTTTATTTTCAAACAAACTTTTATAACTAATCAGAATATTGCTATTTTTGAACTATATATAATGACTATAATAACATTTAGGAATTTTAACAGTAAGATTTTTTTCTTCCCAAGACATTTTCCTGATTTCTTTCATGTAATATGTGCCTGTTATTTTTAAAACTTTGTTTAAACTGTTTAAACATTATTATATTTAAAAAACAAAACCCAAAACATAGCACAGATCTAAATATGAGTTTCATGTGTAAGAGTCATTGCCTGTGTCCAG